GGACTTTCACGACAGAGGTTCATCCATTCAATCGCTCTCGAGTCCCCATACTTGAGTCAACCTGTGTTGATCTAGGCCATCTCCTTCGGATGGTCTGAGCAGAGCACAAGAAAACCAACTACAGCCTCATCAGAAGCTCGCAACTGAAAAAATGCTCGAGGCCCGCCCGGGTTCCGCTTGGAAGCGGTCGTCTTCCCCTTGGTTAGGGTGAGAAGACGGGGAGGGGAAGAAGCCATCGCTCTCCCGATCTCCAGATGACTCAAGTTGTCAGTTTCACCCCCTTCCAGCAGCCTCCGGCACCCCCCCGCTCCTTCGACGATATCGATGCCATTCGGGCGCAGTGGATAGCCATTCCGTCGAGATCTGTAGTTGATTTGCTCGACCTGGCCTCTCCGGCAGCAGCAACGGCCAGAAGGAGTACCGAGTGCTTGCTCCCTTGGGACGCTGTCGGCCACCAAGATCCCAGCCCCTCTCCCGTTTCCTGTGGTCATGGCGGTATAAAGCAGGCCACGGGCGGTTCTCCTGACAAGTTCTTGGCGATGGATCTCGGGGTGTGGGGGCTGCCGAAGCGGTATCGAGTGAGGTTCTACCTTCCCGACTCGCCGGAGAAGCTATTCTTCTGGTGGAGGATACTCTGTAAGGGAGCGGGATGGCGCCTGGAAGCAAACAGATGATGGAGAGGTTATATGTGTGTGTGTGTGTGTGTTGGTCTATTGACTCACACGTGCAGACTGTGCGGGTGTGTGGATGGTGTGCCTCCGCGTGAGCTGTTTTGTCCTTCTGTCTGACGCCGCATGGGCTCGGTACCTCAACTTGAGCGGCATTGGTAGGCCACACGATGTCCACATGTCCACGCGCAAGTAGCGCTGAGTCGCCTTCTGCTCATTCCTTCTCTGCTTCTTCGATGTTTGTTAATTTGTTCGCGTGGGCGTGTGCAGTCGGTCACACTTTGCAGGCTCTGGTGAACCCTCTGTTCATCTACGGGACGTACCTGAACATGGCTGTCCAGGGGGCGGTGTGCACCTATGGCATACTCATTTTGGGTGTCACCCTGCTTTACGCACGTAAGTTGGCAAAGCACCAATCAATCAATGCAGCTCTGCCGTCGGCTATAAATCTCTCTCTCTCTCTCTCTTTCTCTCTCTCCACGTGTGTATGTGTGTGCAGCGTTCGGTTATTCAGCTACTTTGCTGCTGGTGAGTGCCGAGACTGCCCTCTGCGCTGCCTGGTTTGCTCTCATGGCGCAGCCGCGGCTGTTTGGGGACGAGGAGAAGGTCAAGAGGATGAGTGGCTTCCCTGTGCCGGGGCTCTTCACGCTGCCGGCCACGTACTGTCTGGTGCCGGTGCCTCCCACACGCATGCTGACGGCGTCTGAGGACATGTGGGGTGGGGAGCAGAACTGGGCCTTCTCTCTGGTGCGCAAGTATCTGTCCTGCACGAGGGCGATGGACGAGCTGGACTTCTGCCGACTGCTCAAGTACATCGCCTACCTGGGGACAGCACTGGACTACCTGTCCGATCTAGGTGGGCGCCATGGCTGGACGCGTGGCAGCATGCAGTTACTTAGTTACCTGTTGTCCACCAGTCGTCTCTCACCCACTGTTTGGTTGTTCATGCTGTTGTTGCTCACTCATGCAGCGGTGGGCATGGGCATGGTCACCCACCACGGTGATTCCCTCTGGCCCGGAGTGACCATTCTGATTCTCTGCCAAGTGGACACCGTGACCGCCGGCATCTCTTACGGCATCCGGACCAAGGCGACACTGCGGCAGCACGTCTACATATTCGCGGCCTCTCTCTTCGAGGTGCCCATTCTGGTCCTGACCATCCTCTACGGAGCAAGGTCAACCGACACCCTGACGATCGTCATCTCCATCACGGCCACCTGCTCCACAATACTCATCAAGGGGCTCGCCATGATCCACACAATCAGGAGGCAGCGGCTGCGAGCGAAGGGGGGTGACCTGGAGGGGAAGCCGAGCATGACGCCACACACCATGAGCACAGAGTGGCCCACTGAGACAGAAGGTGCATAACCTTGATGCCTGGATGGATGGATAGGCTGGCGGGGAGGGAGAAGGGAGAGTGGGTTCGTGTCTTGATGGACTGTGTCGTGTGTGAAATTAACTAAGGAGGGGCCTGTGTGAGTTGTGGGTAAGACAGCACGCTGGCTGCAATCGTGCCAGCGAGTCCTGTGATTTTTTCCCTTCTGTGCTCGTCGGTGTATTCCGTGGTGGACGGATGGATGGATGGCTGCAATCACTGAGTGTCGCTTCCTTGGTCTTTATTGGAGCCTGTGGCTTGCATCGCACGATGGGTACTTAATGTGATTTGTCTGTTGGTTGTGTCACGCGTGGCGTGCAATTGATGAGTTTGGGATGAGACGTCTGTCGATCTATTTGTCGCACGATGGACATGATGGGATGGGTGGGCGGATGCAGTGGAATGAATCGATGGAGCTTCGTCCTCGTTCGTCGGTGCCTGCCTGTAACTAATCGGGATGCACTGCACTGCACGACATTGCCATGCACCGCTCGCTCAATCGTACTGAGGGAGGGAGGGAGGGGCTGGATGGAGTGTGGATGGGCTGCCCTCTCTGTGTGTGAGTCTGTGTGTGCCAAGACAATTCACTGTGGAGGCTGACTGGCGAGGCGATGTGTGGGTGTTTTAATTATGCTGAGCATGTGCGCCATTCATTCACCCGGCCATGGCTCAATGAATTTGTCCCTGTCCGTCTGTCCGTCTGTGTGTGTGTGCATTTGACACACACACACACAGAGAGAGAGAGAGAGAGAGAGCACACCGCTGCGCACGTCAGTGCGTGCCTGCCTGTCCGCTGCGCTCTCCTGCACACCTTGACCGCATTCATCAAAGACACAAACCCTACGCATAACTAGGGTTTAGATAAGCATGTCAGCGACCCCTGCAATGGGAGAAAGCCTCCAAAGCGAAAGTATTAGGGTTTAGGGTGTAGGGTTTGCTACGTCCGCAACCTCCCCGACAGAGAGGCTACACACGAAGCGAGAAGCAGCCCGAAGGCTCCCCAGCTGAGATCTCTCTCTGTTTGTGTCTGCCTGTCTTCAGGAAGATGCTGCCCATTCTCACCGACCAGACGACGCTGCTCAAAGCCAAAGCAAAGCGTTTCTTTGACATTGATGAAGATGCGATTGCGCTTTGGAAGGAGCCTATACGTGTTCTACTCTAAGAGCTGCTAGGTGGACCGACATGGGAAAGATCTTACTTCCAGCTGCCGTCCTCCACACACACGCCCATCCGGTGTCCTTCCACACACAACACAGCCAAACTATGAGCACAACATCCTCACAGTGCTCAGCTTCTGGGTGGGTGCACCTTTCCTGCACAGACACACCAACTGGCTGCCCCTCTCATTCTCTCTCTCCACGTGTGTATGTGTGTGCAGCGTTCGGTTATTCAGCTACTTTGCTGCTGGTGAGTGCCGAGACCGCCCTCTGCGCAGCCTGGTTTGCTCTCATGGCGCAACCGCGGCTGTTTGGGGACGAGGAGAAGGTCAAGAGGATGAGTGGCTTCCCTGTGCCGGGGCTCTTCACGCTGCCGCCCACGTACTGTCTGGTGCCGGTGCCTCCCACACGCATGCTGACGGCGTCTGAGGACATGTGGGGTAGGGAGCAGAACTGGGCCTTCTCTCTGGTGCGCAAGTATGTGCCCTGCACGAGGGCGATGGACGAGCTGGACTTCTGCCGACTGCTCAAGTACATCGCCTACCTGGGGACAGCACTGGACTACCTGTCCGATCTAGGTGGGCGCCATGGCTGGACGCGTGGCAGCATGCAGTTACTTAGTTCCTTGTTGTCCACCAGTCGTCTCTCACCCAGTGTTTGGTTGTTCATGCTGTTGTTGCTCACTCATGCAGCGGTGGGCACGGGCATGGTCACCCACCACGGTGATGCCCTCTGGCCCGGTGTGACCATTCTGATTCTCTGCCAAGTGGACACCGTGACCGCCGGCATCTCTTACGGCATCCGGACCAAGGCGACACTGCGGCAGCACGTCTACATGTTCGCGGCCTCTCTGTTCGAGGTGCCCATCCTGGTCCTGACCATCCTGTACGGAGCAAGGTCGACCGACACTCTGACGATCGTCATCTCCATCACGGCCACCTGCTCCACAATACTCATCAAGGGGCTCGCCATGATCCACACAATCAGGAGGCAGCGGCTGCGAGCGAAGGGGGGTGACCTGGAGGGGAAGCCGAGCATGACGCCACACACCATGAGCACAGAGTGGCCCACTGAGACAGAAGGTGCATAACCTGGATGGATGGGCTGGCGGGGAGGGAGAAGGGGGGGAGGGTTCGTGTCTTGATGGACTGTGTCGTGTGTGAAATTAACTAGGGAGGGGTCTGTGTGAGTTGTGGGTAAGACAGCACGCTGGCTGCAATCTGGCCAGTCAGTCCTGTGATTTTTCCTCTCTGTGCTCGTCGGTGTATTCCGTGGTGGATGGATGGATGGCTGCAATCACTGAGTGTCGCTTCCTTGGTCTTTATTGGAGCCTGTGGCTGGCTTGCACTGCACGATGGGTAATTATGTGATTTGTCTGTTGTGTCACGCGCGTGCAACTGATGATTTTGGGATGAGACGTCTATCTATTTGTCGCACGATGGACGGGATGGATTGGATGGGTGGATGCAATCGAACCGATGGAGCTTCGTCTTCGTTCGTCGGTGCCTGTTCGTAACTAATCGGGATGCTCTGCACCTCGCTCAATCGCACGGAGGGAGGGATGGGCTGAATGGATTGTGGCTGCCCTCTCTGTGCGTGAATGTGCATGTGTGTGTGGTGAATTCAATCGGCCAAGACAATTCACTGTGGACGGTGACTGACGATGCGATGTGTGGGTGTTTTAAGCTGATCGAGCATGTACACCATTCATTCATCCACCCGGCCGGCCATGGATGCCACGCTACCTCACCTCCACACATACACGACATGACACGCACGTAGCGGAATATCAGGCAGGCGAGTGAGGTGAGGAGCTGCTGCTTGGTGTCTTTGAGGCTCTCACATGGACCCCGGTGTCTGTAGGCTCGATTTGATCCTTCACAAGATCGAGCCTACTGTCCCGGCCCTGCAGCAGTGAATGCATCGATCGCATCAGACGAAATGATCGACCGTCAAATCTCTCCTTTGGATGGGTGGGTGGGCGTGAGCAGAGGGGCGAGGGGAGGGAAGCTGGCCGACAGCTAGTGCAAGGTGCATACGTCTGCCTCGGTCACAAGAGCAGGAACTACAAGACATGACCAACCCGCAACAACCAAGCTAGCCCGCAACAAGTGCCTGGGGCATGAGTGAGAGGCTGGCGTGCCGACGTCCTGCGTGGAGAGAGGGTGGCTGTGGCGCGGGGGTCATGCTGCTGATGCGATGGGGAACGATCAGAGCAAGACCTCCGCATTCGGGAGCACGGAGAGAAGGCATTGCGTCGCCCTTTTTCGGGGAGTTTACACTTTAAAACGGTTCGTGCCAAACTCGTTTTTTCCCTGTGCCTTCTCTCTCTCCCCGCCCCTCCTAGCTGGCTCCGATGACCACCCGGTGTGACGGCGTGTCATGGTCACCGTCACCACCACATTCTTACACTTCATCTTCTTCGCCTGCATCTCGACAACACCAGCACCAGCAGCCGACACAAGCAGCATCGCTCAGCCACGTGACCCGATCAACCCCTCTTCTCTCCCCGCGTTCCTCGCCCCTGCCACCCCCTCCGTCAACCAGTCACACGAGCAGAGCAGCAACACCAGCACCAGCATCAGCAGCACAGAGGCGACCGCAATTGACCTCTCCACGCCGTCGACCACCATGCCGAGAAGAGCTCTTCGTCGCGCAGAGTTGGTTGAGAAGTTGTTGCAGGGTCATGGGAGGCCCAAGGCCCCTCCCACCCTGGCGTGGTGCTCTTCCTCTCGCATGACGGCGGCCATCCCGGTGGACCGCGACCCTGCGGGCGAGGGCTGGCCGCGGGGCGGCTTCCGTAACCACACACGGGAGGAGAAGTGCCGCGCCATTTTTGCTGAGGAGTTCTTCGGCGACAAGAACGAGACCATGAGGGACACCGGGCGGCACGCCTTAATGGCGTCGGTAGCCTATGGGGACTGCGGAATGAGGGAGAGTGTCATAGGCAAGTTTGTGTACTACAGCAATGTGATGCGTGTGCCCAAGGCGGAGAGCAACGCGGTTGTCATATGTGCCTGCACAAGAAACGAGACGAGCGCAGAGGGGACGGAAGAAGGGGAGGGTGGGAATCAGACCAATGCCACCAGGCCTAGGCCTGGTGAGTGTGTGGCGACAGCAAAGTGGGAGCACACGTCGGGGCCTAAGGTGGCTTACAAGAGCAAGGAGGTGCTGACGGGAGAGTCGACAGCACCCGGGTGAGCACCGTGACGCGTCAGTCAGGTCTCTGTCTGCCATGATTTCTGTCTATCCGTTGGTTGCGTGTGTGCGTGTGTGTGTGTGTCAGGAGCGGCCATCCGCTGTCTGCAGAGATGGTTGGTGGACCCAACCTCACGGTTTCGGTGAACTATAAAGATGAGTAAGCAAGCCAACCACAAGAACAACGCACTCGTGTCAACACGTCTGCTCCCATTGTGTGTTGTTCCTTTTTCTGACGCACCCAGCGGTTTTCTGTTTGAGTCTTGGGTAGCGGGCAGTCTCGGGCACCCCTGGCCCATGCTGTGCGACCTCGTGTGTCCCGAAGGACCATCGGAGGCCAACCCCGGCTGCGTCCACCACCTCATCGTCAACGGCTGCCCCGCCGACCATCTCAATGACGCCACATCCACCGACACAACGCCCCTCTTCCGCATCATCTCGCAATCACGCGGCCACATCGTCTTCTCCCTTACACCAACCAGCTTCCCCAAGAGCAAGGAAAAAGACGTAGGGTACCGCGTCCAGTGCATGATGGCCATCTTCCCCAAGCAGCCATCTCTCGCCGAGCAATGCAAATACGCGCAATGGCGGAGAAGGAGGCTGCAGAGCAGCGACAGCCAGAGTCACGATGACGGAGGTAGGGGCGAGTGGGGGGATGGGGGGCAGGGTGAGGGCGGCAAACCGGCTGTGGCGCCAGAGATGGTGGGAGAGGTGGAGGGGCAGCAGGTGCTCAATCCCTTATTCATCGAAACCTTCCCTTCTGCCAGCACATCGCCAGCAAGCGCCTTTGTCGGTAAGCACACATGGCACGGCACAACACGACACACACCCCGACGGGCCACCCTCTCTCGGCAGACCCAATAAGGGTGCTCCGGCCGACATTTAATGGGCCAGATACTCGCTGCTTCTTCTCTCCCAGAGATCGCGAATGAGATCATATGGGACAACTGGTCCATCAACTGGGGCAGGGACTTCTTCAAACGCGAGAACGACCAGGCAACGACGTCGGTGCAGGTGGGCAACGACGTCGCTTTCGTGGGTGTGGGCATCGACCCGGCAGGCCGACAACAATTGGTCGGTCAGCAGCACGGCGAGACAGCCAGCCATAGTGTGCGCATCTCCATTGCACGCTCTCTCCCCCTTTCCGTGTGTGTGTGTGTGTGTGTGTGTGCAGGTGAATGTTGGTTATGGGAAGACGACAGTGAGCGTATCGTCAGACGAGCTCGACGTCGAGGCCGGGGTCGGCATCATGGTCGGCTCCTACGGCGTCAGGGTGAGTCTCACTAAATATATCACAGACACACAAACAGAGACCCCCACACACATGCACTCTGCTCTGCTGCCATCAATCAACACACAACAAACACGCTGGCTGCGTGTGTCTGTGTCTTGTCAGGTTGATGCCGATGCCGACGACCGCCAATACGCCGTCGAGGCGGTGGCGCGCGGGACGGAGGTCGGCGCCAACGTCGACATACTCGACAGAGACTACGGTGTCCGCGTCAAGGTAAATACGTAACCACACCAATCACGTCACCTCACCCCATCTCCGCAACTCACCTACACAACACACTACACTGACTGGGACGAGTGTTGGCCGATCGAAATTCCTTCTCTCCCTCTGTGGGTGCGTGCGTGCATGTGGCAGGTCCGCAACAACGAGGTGACGGTTCGTCACGACTTCTTCGACGTGCAGGACCCGATTACCGATGACGAGCAGGAGCTGGCCACGGAGGTGTTCGTCGGCCACAGGAGCACCGGTGTGGCCGTCGGCAGTGATGTAGACGACACTGAGTATGGCGTCAGCGTCGGCACACTCGGCTACCAGTTCTCCGTGCTCAGGGACTTCGACGAGCGACAGACAGACTTCCAGGGCAATTGGGGGGACGGCTACCAGCTGAAGCTGAACGGCGACTTCCCCGACCCTCTCGACCTGAAGGCCTGGGTGCAGGTGGGGTTCGGCCTTCTCGGCACCGCCTACGTCGAGGTGGGTGCGGGTGTTGGAAGCGACGGCATCCCCGTGGGCAGCGCTGAGGTCGAGACGGACGACCTGGCGATCGCCGTCGACTTCATAGACGACGTGGGCGAGCGCTTCTTCCTATTCGGACTCACAGTCGGCAAATTCACATACACATGGGAGGTAAGACTGACTGACTGACGTGCGTCGCTCCAGACAAACAGACAAACAGACAGACAGACAGACATACACACACATGCGTGTGTCTCTCTCTGTGTCCATGATGCGATGCTGTGGGTGGTGTGTGTCTCTCTCGTGCAGTCTAAGTTCCTCCCCGATAATCTGGAGATACCGCTCATTCTTGGTGCGGCGCCCTAATGGGCCTGTGAGCGCCGTACGTCGTGCGAGCGGCCCTGGTGATTGCATCCTTCGCAGTGATTTGTGTTGGTGGTGTGGTAAGGGACGGAAGGGGGGAGGTGTCATCCGTCTGCTGCGGAGTCTGTCCGGCCGTGGCGTCTCCCTGTGGTGCTCTGCACGTGTGTCTGTGTGTGCCGTGTGCCAGTGAGTGTCGCTTTTGCTGCATGGTGACAGACAGGTGAAAAAACGAGCCACTTGATGGCTGCGTCAATTGAGCTCATGACATGATTGATTTGGGGTTTCGTTAGGGCTGCAAGACCCAGACGTGTGTGTACAGATGGAGGGGTGGACGGGACACGTCTGTCTGCATGGATCGGATCGGATCGGATCGGTGGATCCGCATCATTTTGGACCTGGTGTGTGTGCCTGTCTGTCGGTCTTGGTTCATTCGCAGGCACGAGCATGTGCTGCCTTTCTTCCTCTTTCCCCTGGCCGTCTGTTTGTTTTCTTGGAGTGGCTGGCTACTCGTGCCTCAGCTCCTTGTACCCGCTCGTGTGTCAAGGCCATTCGTGTGGTCGTCTCTCTGGGCGGTGGATGGTGGGCACTAGTAGGCGGATCTGTCTCATGCTGCGTGTCCATGTCATCTAACCCCTGTGGATGGTCATGTGCCTCCCTGCACCGATGCCATCCTTGGCATGGCGGTGGGTATTCATGGGACTCGTGGTTTGCGTGGGATGGTGCCGACACAGACAAACAGACAGACAGTCACACAGTCAACCGTTGCAACGAACGGGCACAAACGTGTGTTCGGCTGGACGAATGCCGTCAGCTGCCTCAAGTGGCTCTATTTGTTCGCTGCAAACCACCTTCGAGAATGCTTCATCTCTTTCATTGGTCCGCTCTTTCACAGAGGGCATCTCCATCGTCTTGCGGTCATTTTGAGTCATGCTGGTCGGTTTGGAGGTGCTTCGGCCGTTATCCGACCCATTTCTGACCGTGTAGAGTGATGCAGCATTCACTACACGGTCCTGGACAGAAAAGGACAGCACAGAAAAGGACACCGCCCTCCACTCCATCTCCGTTCAGGCTCCCTGCTTTCAATTCTCTTCTCCTCAGTGTTGACGACAAATCTTCTAGCGAAATCACTCAAGCTGCATCAGTTTACGTGGAGACATCTAAGGGCTCTCGCAGCCATCCAAGGACTGATTGAATGAATGAGAGAACAGACGGTTTTTCGTCGTTTTGAGTGGCTCCGGAGATTCATTCACAGCGGGATATCACTCCAAAAGTCGCTGGAAAATAAGTGGGTCAGCCCTGTAGTACGTATAAGCGGGTCAAACGCGTAAGTGGGCCAGCTATGTACTGACCCACTTACGCGGTCCGGACTGTACGAAAGTCCTAATATCACTGAGACACTCGAGTGATGGACAAACAGACCTGACCGAAACCAACCCAGCGACTATCGTTGACTATCTCCATGGCAAAAGCACCGAATCTCCTGTTGCCGACAGGAAACAGTTCCTCAAGGCCGAATCCTGGATCGCCGAGAGTCGTCATTTCCATTCCTACTATCGCGCTTTGCAGACCCCTCAGCTGCTGCAATATTGCAAGCGCACCTTGCACCTGCTCGGCCGCATTTGTCAGACCATCAGGCACTGCAGACATACAGGGAAAGACGGACCATACCACCGATTGAAGAGACGGCACGAAGCTTGTTGCGTACATGTCACGGCGAGCTGCAGCGTCGTGATGGCAGGGAGGCTGGCGACTGCCGTGGCCAGCTGCTGGACATCCAACTGACCGATGCACATCCCCTCCACCTCCCGCTGCGTGCCGAGTGCCGTCAGCACGTCCAGCTTCTTTTGCAGGGGCAAAGAATCGATGTACACATGAAGGGCCATATCCATGGGCATCTTGCTAGCAAGCAGAGACGCCACAACACCACCCACACCTCCATAGATAAACAAGCGGTCGACAACCGTCAAGGGCTTCAGGTGCTCGATGATTGTGGGGCGGGGGTGTGGGTGTCGGCAGGTGGGTCGAAGCCATTCCTATTGCCGACTTTCACCACGCAGGCTTTGTCGAATGAGAGGCTTTTCGCCATGGCAATTGCCGCTTCGCTGGGGCTATCGACAGGGTGCGTCAGGTCGTGCTGGGTGAGAAGATACTGCACGAGCTCAGCCTTTGCTGCCAGCTCCATGAGGACTCTGGTGAAGAATCTCGACGGGCGTGACGGAAAGTGGTCGCTGTAGAAGAGGGATAGGTCGAACATCAGGGAGATCCCATGGAAAGTGAATGGGATCTCAGGCGATCGGCAGCACTTCCTGTTGAACTCGTCGAGGGCCCGGATGGCAAGCAGAGCGTCGCTGTTCAGGGTGGTGTCACAGGGCGTGGAGACGTCAAGCTTCGCCAGCGATCGACGGCAGCCGCGAGACACGAGCACCTCCTGAAACAGACAGACAGATCGATTGATGGCCCCAGATGCGCGATGGAAGGAGACAAGCTGCACACCTGCAGTCGCCGTAGGCCTACAACGGTGTCTTCCCTGAGGTAACCAAGGTTTATCAGCCCGATCGTCTCCAGCTGTGCGAGAGGCCCTGCCTCACCAGCAGGCGACACAGGCACATGCTCGAAGACCTCGGCCCAGTTAGTCGTGTCCCGATGAGGACACGACACATCTCTGTCTTCAGGCAAGAGGTGCCGCAAAGAGCGAGAAGTGCTGATGAATCGGCCCAATGCGTAGGCGTCCATCCTATGCGCAGTCTCCACTCGCTGCAGCGACGGCATCTGCCAGTTTCGGTTGGCCAGCACCTGGTGGTGGGACGTCAGACCATCGACGACCGTCAGGGCGGGCAGGGTGGGCGGATGGGCAAATTGTGGGGGCAAAGCTGGCTCTCCTCGTCTCAGCGTCCGCCTCTCCCCGTGTGTCAGCCGAGTCTCGTCGATTGTGTGGTCGTGAGGGTCCCATCCTGCAGACCCTCGATACGTCGCGCCTCTGCATGGCCTTCAATGATGGCGACAAAGATGTCGAAACACCACCTAGGGAAGGGCACTGGGAAGCAAAAGAGCACGGACGTCAGTCGTGTGAGCCGTGCGGCGAACTGCTGGACAAAAGCCAGAGGGACGCGCTGCCAGAATGACCGCTCCTCAGTTGGTGACAGCCAGAAGAGGGGCTTCTCCTTGGTCGTGGCATCGATGGTCAGGTGGGTGTACTGAAGCGCCGCGTGCCTCCACGTCTCGCGCGACAGCAGAGCCAGCAAGTAGATGGGCACAAATGCCGTAATACAGCTGAGAAGGCCAGGCTGCAAACACCATGATTCTGCCCCGCATTCACTGATTCGACGTGTGCACGGTGTTACGAACCGTTTCGATGATCTGGTCGAGGAGCCGCCTCTCCCTCTCCGCTCTTCGCTGCCCTTCGGCATCACGGGGAGGCGCGGCATTGGGGCCGCCTCGCCTCGACTGAATGGAAGCCAAAATGCACATTCATCGATAACGTCTGATGCACCCGCTAAGGCCTCACCTTTCTGGCACCGTTCATCGCGGGGGGAAGCCTGGAAAAAAGGGGCGATCTGCGAGCTCGTTGAGGGGAGAGAGGAGGGAGGAGGGAGAGATCTGTCTTCGTCCCCGGCGTGCGAGCATTGAGAGGTGGAGTCTACTAGCGTTGGTGAAGTGATTCCTTTCGCTCGCGGCTGTTGCTTGAGGCCAGGTAAGGGCTGCAGTGAGGCCAACAGACACTCCCGACTACACAAGACTCAGTCGGCTTTGCAATGCAGATCTGTCTGTTGAGGTGGATTGGCGTAAGAGCGTAGCTGACGTATCAGCTGCAGGTGAGATGGTGCCACTCATTCAATGCGCTGACTGATGTTTGTGTTGCTGGTTGTAGATTGCTTCATCACGATGGCGGCCTCTTCCTCTGATGCTCAGCCTGCTGCTGGTGGTGATGGTGAGAGTGATGAGGAGCGGCAGCGCCGGGGAGAGAGGGAGCGCGTCCTTTGGCAACAAATCGCTGACACGGTGAGTGTGGCCCCGACGCACTGAGGGCGTACTGATGGATATCTCTTACCGTTGCCGTCCCGTGTGCTGTGATGTGTGCAGCCCGGTCTCTTCAGCATCGTTATGCCCTTCCTCCCAATCCATCTGCTCATGCAGCTGCAGTTGCCGCCTCTGACGTGGCAGAATGCCGCCCGCAAGCAGCACCACCTCACCATCAGTGCGGCCGACGAAAACGAGCGGTCCTTTTGGCAGAGGACCACCACCGACCTCGTCAAGGAATGGGCGACATACCTGACGAAGCTGACGTGTGTCGTCCTTTGCTACCCTCTGGGCTTCCCCATGTGGTGTTTGGACGTCTTCGTGGCCGTCATCGAGGGCCACATCGCCGGCCGACGGGCAGCCAACATGGACGGCGGGACCCTGCAGACCATCAGCATTGAAGAAGGGGTTCGGCTGACCGACACGGCGAGGCGGACCGTCGCACGGATAGACCCACCCCTCCCACCCCCCCTCGACCCGCCTCCCACCCTCCACGCACTCACCACCATTACCGGCCTGACCCTCTACCATGAGATGCTGGCCGACCGACGCTGGCGGATGCCCTCACTCCCCATCGTGCGGCAGGGGGAGTGGGGCTTCGACAGTTTGAGACTGGGCCAGATCATCAGCTCGTCCCGCTCATTGCGGCGTGTGGACGGCAGCTTTAGGGGTGACGGGTGGGCGCGTGTGTTTGAGGGGGTCCCTGAGGCACCTGCCGGGCAGCGGGGAGGGCCACTTAGCAACTTGGAGAGCATCGGCACTATCTTGGTGGAAGGTGACTATCCGGCGGGCATCGACCGGCAATTTGTCGCCCGGCTTGAGGTGACCACAACGCACACACATTTGCAGTGGGGGATGTGGCTCGTTTTGTGACCTCTCCTATTGGTGTGATCTTGCCTTCAGGCTGTGCTCGTTGCGCGTGGCTGTCGACAGTTGCTTAAGCAGCTCCACGTCCGCTTTGCTGCCTACGACGTGCTCCGTGACATATTGCCCGTCCTGCTCGACCGCCGCTACGTGCCTGTCCTGCTCGCCTTGGACCACCTGGTGGCCACCTGCTGCCGACAGGACACAGAACTCACTCTCACGGCCAAGGGCAATCTCGAGTTTGATCTCTCCATCTTCTACCATACCGACTTCCCCACCCACCCATCGCCCTCATTCAAGACCATGATCCAGCAGCTCGCACGGCAGGCCACATCGGTGCACTACTTCTTCACTCAGGACGGCCTCACCGACCCGCACACCAACCCCAGCCAATCGGCCATCGACATCGCATCCAGCCTCTCATTCGACAAGGTCAAGACGGTGTCGATCAAGAATACCCCTGGCTTCGACCCCCCGGCCAACACCCCATCGCCCCACCCCTCCATCATCACTCACCTGCAGCCTTTCCCTAAAGCCTCACGGCTGGATGTAAAGAGCAAGCTGGGTGGTGCTGCTGCCCGGCTGCTGGCCGACAGGATGCCCAAGGAGGTGGAGAGGGCGGATATCCAAGAGGCGTTGGGTGGTGAGGAGAAGGTGGGTGTCCTGACGGCGCTGGGGAGGGAGAGAGAGGTGCGTGACGTGCGGATGGGGCAAGTCGATATCGATCAACTAGAGCAGCTGCTGATGGGGGCGGCCGACAGATTGCCGACCATCAGGGAACTAGACTTCACCATGACACGTACGCCGAGAGGATAGCACATATTGTGTCCATCCGTCCTCATTTCTGCCTTGTGTGTGTTCACCTTCGGTGTCTGACGATGTGGAGGATGCCGGCAGCGTCGTCCGCACCCACCTCTCATCGCTGATCGATCATATCCCCCTCCAGTCTGTGAAGCTGACGGTCGACGACACGGCAGATGAGCAGCATGATTCCATCCTCGCCTCCCTCCCTGTGGGTACCAACATCGGTGCCTTGAGCGTCACAACCATCGGCAGTGGCTTGTGGCTCGAGACAATGACATGTGTAGAAATGACTGCAGCTCCCGATGCCTGAAGGTGAGGGAACGGCACTTACGCATACCGGGGTCTTATATTGTGTGTGTGGTGGTGGTGTTTTTCAGGCTGGTCGTCTTGTCTTGACGGGTCATAGCAGAGGGAAAATGGGGCAGTTTTGTGAGCAGGCGAAATTCATGAGGTGCTATACACCTGCATAGGTGTGTGTGTGTTCGTGTCATAGTGTTGACGACTGACTGGCCAGCTCAGCTCTACAGACTGACGGACAAGGGCTGCTGATGCCGGCGTGTAAGTGACACGCACACGGCATGGCCACGCCGCATTAACCAATCAACTACTGCAAGCACATCACATTCAATCACGCTTCAACGTGGCATCCAGATGTGTACTTACCCACATAGACACGTACACATTGAGGGAGAGAAGAGACACACAGATGAAATGACTGAGGCCATCCGTCCATTGCAACACACACAAATCGTCCTGGTCCACTGCATCCGTACTGCATTGCCGCAAGCCCGATTGCAGGTGCACTGCGGGTGAACCATACACCAAAGAGCACATCCGCTCGTGAGTGGATGGATGGGTGTGATGGCCCACTGACCGCGTGGCTTGTCTGGTATCAGACACACCTACAAACACGCCTGCCGCTGTGCAACGAACCGACAAAGCACAAAGCGTTCATGTGCTGCATAGCGTAGCTGCATGTGTGTGAGTGTGTGCATGTACGTGTGTGTCGATGACTGATGGGGTAGCTGTACAGATTGACGGACGGACGGGGGCTGTCTGATGCTGGCATGGCATTGCAATCAACATACGATCTGACTGACACATTGGTCGATTGCATACACTTAGTCAGGCAGACAGAGAAATGCCCGCATCACGGGTGGCATGGCATTGCAACTATCATAGCACGACCAGCATGCATCGCCTCATGTCGTCATCTTCATGTCCTGCTGGTCAGCCCCGCCCTCTCCCTCCTGCTGCTGGCCATCCATCTCGTCTCGTGACCGCTTCGTCCCGCGACGATCCTAAGCAGCAATCCAACACACACAGATATAGCAGTGGCAACAACACGTCATCATCAGGCTATGCCTGCCGCTTCTGGCGCACCTGTTCCTTGAGCCTGGCGTTTTCCTCACGCAGCCTCTCATTCTCGGCCTCCAACCGCCGCCGATCGGCCGCCTCCTGTGCCATGAACACACGAACAGCCAGACGGACAAGGTGACACGAGGCGACGACAGCTGACTTGGGCTGACCTTGGTGGCGCTGTTGATGAAGGCGTTGTACAGCTGCTTGAAGGAGTCGTCTGCTTCTGTGTCGATCGCCTCCATGAGTGCGCCCTTGAGTCCATCCTCAAAGGCCGTCTGCACTGCTTGGGGGAGGGTGGGCAGGATGGGAAGCAAGGCGGGCAGCACACTAAAACTCTTGCGGATCGCGTCTGCCGTCATTTTCGGTGCGATGCGATCATACTCAGGGTCGCCCACGTCCTGGATGGCCGAAGCGAACAAGAGAGTGAGGGGCACCCTGTACTGCGATGCATGTGCCAGGCAGGAAACCAGCTTGAGGGCGATATCACGATGAATCGACCTGCAGATGTGCAACGTACACACACAGTATGTCAGTGCCATGTGTAAGTGGGTTCAGTCCGTTTTGTTTTGTCACACACCTGGCCATCAGTGTCACGCCCTCCCAGTGCCCGTCGTTGGCACACAGTCTGAGGTAGTGCAGGGCCAGGGTGCGCATGGGGAAGAATCGCACCGTCAGCTTCATCTGGACCTCCTCCAGCCTGGCCTCCCCTTTCCCCTGTCGCAGCAACGCCTCAGCCGAGATGTTGGCCTCCCAAAAACACGAAAACGCCTTTGCCCCCAACACACTGATACCGAAGCGATCCACAGAAGGACCCTTCTTGCCCATCTCGATCCCCGTGTCCGCGTTGATGACCGGAGAATCATGCAGCCGAATCGACAAGGAGGGCTGGGAGTCGCCATAGGCCGCCTGCGTCGCTGTCGTGCCCTCGGCAGCACCACAGGGGACCTCCAATGAGACACTGGCGCCGAAACACGACACTGATTCAAGCGAATCGCCGCGCAGAAGGGGTGAGACACAGACGTACCAGCCACGAACGTCGCACATCTTCCCATCACCATCGCGCAGGGCATCGGCTGGAGGGTCACTGGGGAAGGGAGGGCCGAACTGGCGGAGCCCGGCTACCTCAACGCCGATGGTGCCGAACTCGATGTCACCCCTCTTTTCGTCGTCGAAGGGCTGTGTCGTAGACGAAGCGGATGATGCGAAGATGTCCTGCTCGAATATCGCACCTGCAAACAAGACGAGAGGCGGTGCCAGGTGAATGCCTCTCCTGACTGCCATCCCCGTTGGTGTCCGTCTCACCATGTGCATAAGCAAGCGACGACCTTCCCGTCGCCTTCGTGATGAAGGTGCCCAACTCGTGGCAGGGCATGTCAATGCGCCCATACGAGAGCTCATCGCCGAGGGTGCCCACCAGGCTCACGGCCGCCTTAATGACGTCATCCTCTGCCTCCCCTCTCTCGCACCGACGCCACTGCGCCCGGATAATGTCGGGCCTCTTGCGCAGAGCTGGCAGTAGGCCGGCGCGAATGTCCTTGTGGCGGTGAATGAAGCGAGCGATGAATGCGTAGCGGCCGAAGCTGTCCAGCAGGCTGTTGGCCAGCTGCTCATCTCGCAGCCAGCCCCCATGAACCACCTGAAACAAAGCAGAGGCGCTTCAGGAGGCAAAGAAGAAACGGCCCCCTCGTCCCGCCCACTCACATGTCGATGGATGCGCCAGAGCAGACTTTGTTTGCTGCTCGGTGTGAAGATCGTGTCGGTGTCGAATTGCAGGTAGTCGAGGGCCACCATCGCGTCAAGCAAGTTGTCCTTGGTCAGCGAATCTACGATGTCCAGCTCATGCTGCAGCACCACCACACCGACGGCCCGGCTGATGCGCTCGACGCGAACCTCACGCTGCTGTGCTTCCCGGAACTCGCCATCCAACCAACACCTGTAGTAAGTAACAGGCATGACAGAAGCAAAACAACGGCCAATGAATCATCTGTCATTCTTTGTGTGCAAGAACTGTCGAGCAATGCCCTCCTTGACGGCGAGAGGCTCATCTGCTTCACCATCGTCGGTGAAACAAACCCTGATGGTTCGCTCCATGGACGTGTCCATTGCGATGAATCAAGTGAGCCGAGTGAAGAAGAAGTGGCGGGAAGCGGGAAGAAAACACATAGCAGATTCGCTTTGCGAGCTTCTGTCGAGCAGGATGGAACCAAATGGCATTGATGGAGGTGAGAACGGGTCAGAAAAGGAAAGCAAAGCAGCTGTGAAGGCAATCCATGATCGGATCTTCCAAAACATGCGGTTGCCGTTTGTGTGGTGTCAGACACAGCTGCTGCGATGGAGGTCTGTGTGAGCCCCGGCTGTCAATTTCGGCACCGCCGGACAGCCAAGAAGATCACCAGAGCCAAGAAGGATCATCGCACAGACATCGCACCCGCCGAATGGGGAAGGTAACAATACCGTCGGACAGAACGAAACACGCCAGGTCAGCCATATCAGCCATCGCTGCCTCTATGCTGGTCGGTAGGTACAACTATGCCGCACTGCTCAACCCGACGGCAAGGGCAGGAGGCGCTGAGGCGCTGCTGTCGTGCCCGGAATCTGTGCCTCGTGTCGATGCCAAGACCACATCGCCAGCAGGTGAGTGAGTGGTGCGGTGCACACATACGGTGCGATGCACGTCACGTGGGCGGTTGGTTGTCTGTGTGTGAAGAGTTCATAGCGAGCTACGAGATGCGGTCGCGGCCGTGCATCATAGCAAACGCCATCAACGAGTGGCCTGCCATGAGGAGATGGACATTCGACGTGAGTGCAAGGCAGATCGGTCGCTGCAGGCACACGTGCATCTCTGCTGCTTGTGTGGTGGGTGTGTCCACGATCAGTATCTCGAGGAAAAGTGGAGGAATGGCCACTTCAAGGTACTACACACAGAACGATAACGACGCTCTCTGCCATCCATCCATCCATCCATTGCCCTGCTCTCGTTGTTGGCTGTCGCAATCACCGTGGTTCAGATCGGCGAAGACGATAGGGGTGCGTTCAGACCCCTTTAGGAAGACACAAGAGGATGGATGCTGCTGTTGTTCATCCATCGGTCTGTTGTGTTGTGTGTGGTCAGGTCATCGCATTCGCGTGAAGCTCAAGTATTTCGTTGACTACATGCGGCACCAGACCGACGACAGCCCTCTCTATCTCTTTGAGGCGTCAGCTGAGGACTCGCCTGCCACCATGTCGGCGGAGGGAGAGAGACGGGCAGAGCACCAACGACACTTGCGATTCGTCAAACATGCTCTCTCTGGTGCATCTGGTGCTGCCTGTCTGCCAGGGATCTGATAGACGACTGGTGGGCTCCTGCACACTTCCCAGAGGACTTACACAACATCCTTGGCGACGATAGACGGCCGCCGTAGGTTTAACAAAGGGGGTTATGCGGCCCTGTGTGTGTGTGTTTTCATTGCAATCCGTCTCATCTCTTCTGATGTCTTATATGTGCAGGTGGCGGTGGTTCATGATCGGTCCCATCAGGTCAGCAGGCGAGCAAACAAACAGCAAGGGAGAAGGGGCAATCAATGGCCGGCGGCTGCACTCACTCCTGTGCACGTCTTGCTTGTTTGTGTCGGCAGGTCTGGCACAACCGTCCACCGAGACCCATTAGGTCAGTGAGAACCCGTCTTGCAAACAGCATCACCTCTGCCGCAGCGAATACATTGTTTCTGCTGTTGTCTGTCGGTCAGGCACTGGTGGGTCTCTATCGGTCTAAGGGAAGAGGACGATGCGTGATCTGTTGGCTGCTGTGGTGCAGCTGCGTGGAATGCGGTGATCCAGGGCGAGAAACGGTGGGCGCTGCTGCCGCCTGAGCTGTCCAAGCGGCTCGTCAAGGCAAAGATGCTCTTGCGTGACGGAGAAGACGATGAGGCCATCGATTGGTCAGCCAACCAGTCACACATCCATCCAGCTGTGCAATGTCTCTCTGCTGATGCTGTGTGTAGGTTTCATAATCTGCTGCCGCGTCTGAAGGCGTTCCATCGTGCCGAGACGGGTCAGGAGCTGCCGATCTATGAGGGCATCACGAGGCGCGGGGACGTCATCTTCGTGCCGCCAAGGTGGTGGCACGCCGTTCTCAACCTGTCCGACACCATCAGCGTCACACAGGTGGGGCGGACGTCACGACAGCCTTTGCCCTCTTGGCTGGGCTGTGGGGGAGATCGCTGCTGGATGCCGTTTAGAATTTCGTGAGCCCCGCGAATTTTGCCTTGGCGTGGGAGAGCATGCGGAGGAGCCGTCGGCTGCTGTCGTGCCGATGGCTGAGGCGGCTGCAGCGGTTCCACCCCGACCTCTACTCACTGGCATGCAGGTAGGTATGTAGGTATCCACCTCTCTGTTCCTCCGTTGGTTCTGATGTATGTGCCTGTCCTCCCGTCTAGATATGACCGAGAGATGGCGATGGCGCGTCAGGTGCCCGGCTCGTGCAGCAGCAGCTCATCGTCGAGCAGCTCGGACTCGTCGTCCGACGAAGATGAGGACAGCACCATTCGCGAGCAGATGAGGCGGTCGGAGGCTCGGTACTCGGCTGCCGAGACAGAGGCGATCAGGGCTGCGTATGCTCCGGCGAGGCGGGGCAGCGGCCGTGTGGGTGGGACGGACGATGGTGGGGATAGTGGTGGTGTGTGTGCTGGTGTGTGAATAAGAGACTGACTGACTGACTGACTGTGGGCGGTGCAGTGCCCAGTGCGTCAGTCAATGTTAGCCAGCTTATCAATTGCATGAAGCGACTGAGCTACATACAGTACAAACCCATCAATTCGCTCATCAGAAGCTTTCGCGTCCATAGTCGATAGATATGTCCATCACACATACCATACCATAGCATGCATACCCGACCGCATCCAGCTTACCTGTCTCTCTGCCAGTAGAGGCAGCCAGCAGGTTGTGAGTGAGAGAGTGAGGTGTTCGCGAGGGCTGGACGGTCGACTGAACCACCTACCAGTCAGTCCTCCGTCCCGTCCGGTACTTTGCATGCAGTGAATTCAGGCATCCATCAGTCAATCACTCGATCAACAAATACGTCCGTCCGTCGGTCATATGCACGCAGTCATTGATTGTCTGGTGTGCTGTCTGTACAGGCACCCACACCACACGCCACGCCACTGTGGTCACACACACACACACACACACACACAGACACACACACAGACGCAGGTGTCGTTAGTGTACACGACCGACCGACACGGATAAACAAACCGCCCCGGACACACCGGACAGCCACAAAACTCAGGGGGCGGGGGGTGGCCTTCTGACTAGCTAGTGCGGGAGAGGCAACACACACATATCGATGGATGGATGACAAGAGGAAAGAAAGACGGAGATCGGTCGTCATTCCCCAGATCATCTCATCGCCTGTGTGGTGGCACCCCACCCGTTACTAGTCAATAAATAGGCCACCTCCCTGCCTAAGCAATCCGCCAATCAGTCCCTCGCCTAATTGCACACGACCAACCCAGCACCCCACCCTGTCCGCCCTGCCCCTCCTCTAACGCTATTCATTGCACCGCAGCGACCATCTCTGTTGATGCGCCCTTCTTCTGCGTCTGCTCATCGGGCCTGACCTCTCGCCGATTTGCCATGAATGCCAGTGCGGTGTTCCAGAGGTAGGCCGCGCACAGGTTGGCGGGCACGAGGAGGTGTGGCGGTGTGAAGTAGAAGTTGAGGGCCTGGAAGGGGATCCACACCTTCCACGCCACCAGCACCGTGTCGAACCACTCCTGCTCCAGCTTGGCCGCCGCCTCACCCATGCTGCCCCCACTGGCACACACACCGACACCGAATGACACACACATGTGGAGAGAGATTTGTGTGTGCGTCGTTCGGTTCGGTGTGTGTGTTAGGTGCTTACTTACCGAAGGAGTGTCTGTGTGATGTAGAAGGTGGGTAAGTAGATGAGCGGCGTGTGGATGAAGTTGTCGACCAGCGTCTTGCCCACGGCCTGGCGCGTGTGGTTGCCGGCCGTCAGGGGCAGCCACGCAAAGAAACGACCATACCCGTACACCTGAAAGCAAAGCATGTGATTGATGTGCGCACACCGTGAGAGAGAGAGAGAGAGACAGACCATCCATCATCGCTCCCTTCCTTGTCAGTGTGCTTTAAACCTACCCATAGCAGCGTCTGGAAGCCGCCCGAATAAAGGCAGCCGAATATGACCATGGCCCTTGTGCGCGTGTCGTCCCATTTCTTCCTCTTCTCGATAAGAAATTGACTCGTCAAGTCGCCCGCGCCGATGATGCAACCAGCTGCGGGGACGGACAAGCACACAGAGGCCACAATGCAGCTACGTGACGGACATCTATGCGAAGGCCCCTTCACATCGCACCTGTGATGACTCCTGAGGCCAGCGGGTTGGCAGAGAAGAGGCTGTTCAGCTTCTTGAACAACTGCACCATGCCTTCACTCAAAATCGCTATAAGAACCATCGGAAGCGCCGTTTGCGTTCGTTCTCCCCTCAGGGCTCTCCTCCTGCAAAGCTCGCAATTGAAGGACGGCAGAAAAGAGGGCAAGAAAAGAGGAAGGGCGCAGGTGCCCGGCAGCCATAGTCGTGTGGATCTTGCGATTTTGACCGAAAAAGCCGGTTTCGCCGTGTTGAGCTCGACCCGCCGCTGCTTCATTGCCGCAGATGGGCTCAAATCCCTTTGCGACGAACGGCCAGCCCTCCTGGCTGCAGAACATCCTCTCGAAGGTCGGCTTGCCGTCCACAACATTCGGCCACGACCCGCCACAGGCAGCCGAGGAGCCTCCAGCTGCGGCTGTCCGAGGCCGCAAGTATGGCGCCGGGATGTTTCATTCTGTTGGCCATGGCGCGGTGATGGAGTACCAGCAAGATCAGAGGGAGGGGGGGTTTTCACCGGCTGCATCAGCGGCATTGGTTGCGCGGCCTTTTGGAGCTTACCATGACGCTGAATCGGCGAGCGAGAGCATCCAGCAGGTACAGTCAGTACGTGTCGGTCGATATGACATGCGCTTGATGCACTCACTGTCTGCTTCGTGTCGTCCATCGTCCATCTGATCTGGGTACGTAATGTGTGTGGGTTTGTTGGGTGGTGTGCATCATCGTCCACAGGCGGAGCAGTCCCTCGCCGCGTTTTACCCCCGGGCGACGGCCAACCCGTCGACCACTATCATGGAGGATGGCTCCTCGGCCGGCACAGAGGGGCACCGGGCACTCATGGAGGGAGGCGGCAGCCCAACCTCGCCCACACAGGTGGGTAGGGTAGGGCCACAGACAGACAGCACACCGCAGACAATCAATGGATGGATGGATGGATGTGTGTGTGTGTAGGTGAATCCTGAGGTGGCTCGTCGTCGGCTGCTGGCGGACCGGACGGAGCGGACAGAGGCGATGCGCACCTTAGCTAAGCGCGTCAGCGACACCGCACTGGCGCACTCGTCCGTCAGAGACTCCATTCACAAGGCCGCCACAAACCTAAAGAAACAGGTTGGTGGGCGGGCGGGCGGGTGAATGCAGGACTGCACACACCCACACACACACAGGCAGCCAGACAGACAGATGATCCGCTCTCTCATCTGTGTGTGTCCTACAGTTGGACGACAAGACGGTCGAGCTGGATGCCCTGGAGCGAGAGAAGAAGATGCTGGTGGTGCGCCACACGGGCACCCTGCAGCAGCTCGAGAACGCCCGGGCGAGACTGCGCGGCGTCGAGGCCACCGCAGAGGCCTCACAGTGGACAAACCTCTTCAAAGAGGTAGGTACCTACCGTAGGCAGACAAGGACCACACCAGGTGAGCCCCCCTTCTCTGTCTGTCTGTCTGTCTCAGAGCACGGCCTCATCCCACCCAGATCTGGAGCGGCTGCAGCAGCAGCTGAGCGTCAAGCAGGAGGAGCACCAGCTGCTCACCTCCCATCTACAGGAGCAGGCCAGGCGCGTCACCCGACTCACCCAGCAGATAGTCGCCTCACAGGAGTGCGGCGAGCGGCTCTCACGCGTCATCGAGCTGCAGAACGCCTTTCTCGGCCGGAGGGAGGGGGAGGGGCCCCGGGTGCTCGGCGAGCTGAGAGAGATGGGGGAGAGGCTCGACCGGGAGCAACAGGCGCTCCAGGCAGAGATGGACGCTGTGCCGCCTGGTGGGCGTGAGGCGAGATCTGATGGGAGGGAGATTGGGGTGTACATGGCATGGTGGGTGATATCTGTGTGTACGCGTGTGTGTTGTGTTGTGTGGTCGGTTGCATTGCAGATGTGGTGGAGGCGGCCCGGCATCGCGAGCGTGTGTCGGAGGATATGGGCCGGCTGGAGGCCGAGTACGCTGCGCTGTCGGCGCAGCTCACTTCCATAGAGGAACAGATCGGCGCACTCAACAGGTCAGTCACAGGACGACAGACAGACACGCGCCCTCCCTCCCTCCCTCCCTCCCTCGCTCATTTCATGTCATGTGTGTGTGTGTGTGTGCGTCTGTCTGCAGGCTGTTGTCGCAGAAGGAGGCGCAGCTGAGCCAGTCGCAAGAGAGCCTCCGCACCGTGCAGGGCATCTCCGCCGCCCAGGCCAAACAGATCCACACCCTCAAAGGACAAATCGACACACACGTAAGTCAAGTACCCCCACAAATCACAGACCACCCCTCCCTCCCTCCCTCCCTCCATCCATCCATCCACACCGCCTTCCTTCGTGTGCCCTGCCCTGTGTGTGTCTGCAGCTGATAGACAAGCGCACGTCGGTGTCGGAGGAGGCCTTGCAGGTGGTCCGCATGGACACCGACATGCAGACGGCCCTCGAGGCCGTCCCCTCGCGCATAGGGCGGGACCTGCGCGTGCCATTCGTGTGTCTGGCGTCGATGCGCGGCTACAAGTTCGGGAGCAGGACGGTGCAGCTGCGGCTCGCACAGGGCGGCAAGGCTCTCATGGTGCACTACGGCAAAGGTATGTGGGAGGGAGGGAGGCCCTGCCCTGGGTGCGATAAATGCATTGTGTGGTGGGCATGTGTGTCTGCCTTGCAGGTCATGTGTTGCCAATCGAGGAGTTCCTCGACAAATTCGAAGACGAGGAGCTCGCCAAGGAGCGGGACAAGCACAACTTCGCATCTCTCTCCTCCCCAACATCAGCACCAGCTATACCAGTACCAGCAGCAGCAGCAGCGGCACCCGGAGCACCCTCCATGCCGGGCCTCCCCTCCCTCTCCCCCCCTCTCGCACTGCCGCCCATCCCCGACGACCAGCCCGCACCGATGGAGCCCTCCCCATCGGATTTCCTCTCCAACGGCACCGCCCTCTCCCTCTCCCTCTCAGCCCACAGGCAACGAGGAGGAGGAGGCTATGGGTCTGGTGGTGGACACGGTGGACAGGTGCCCCTTGGGTCGGTCACCACACGCAGCACCGACCGAGGTGCCCTGGGCGAAGGCGGCGTCCACGCGTTATCTCGTGGCGGGCTTCCTCGTGTGAGTGAGCAGGGAGGCGGGAGTGGTGGTGGCGGTGGCGGTGTGGCGGGGTGGACGAAGCTGTTTAAGCCCAATTGGTCGAGATGAGAGGGTGTGTGGGCGGTTTTGCTTTGTCGTTCGGTCTTGTGTGAGTAGTGGACAGAGAGGCATTGGACGATTGGTTGACAGATGGATGGATCGATGGATGGGTGGGTGGGTGGGTGGAGGACTTGACGAATTGAATGGCCGGCCGGCCGGCTGGCTTGGTGCATCGAGACTCGCGATGACATTCAAAGATAGATAAGGACGTGCAGCCACACGAACACACACAACAGACACACACAGAGGTACGGCGATTCAACACTCACACAATCCATCCATCCAGCCCTGTCTGTCTGCAGCATGCGAGCATCGCTCACAGCCCCCCAATCCGCCCGCCCCAGGAAGGCCATTAAAACACCACACACCACTCATGTCATCTCATCTGAGGGGGCCGGGTTCTTGACACTCCATTCATCCATCCATCCATCCATCCACTCATCCGAGGGAGGACATGTAGTAGGCTAACGAGTAGGAAGAAGGTGAGAGTCCTCGTGAACTCACTTCACCTACCATACCAAGAGGGCTTAAACCGCATTCATGTTTCTCTCTAGAGCTGTACAGGCAGTGCACCGACAGACAAGACAAGACAGACGAGCAGCCCCGGTTTGATTTGGTTTGGTTGGTGGAAAAAATCTCAAAGACAAAGCATAGCATCCAACCACCCGTCTCATCCCATCATGATATTCAATCAGTAGTCGTCATCGAGGAACATGTCGTCATCTTCCATTCTGTCTCGCCGACCGCCCCCGCCACCACGGCCCCCCTCCCTGCACACAGACACACATCAACACATCAACACACACGGCACAGAGACCCACAGCCGCGATGGATGGCTCTTGTGTGTTTGCTGTTGAGGGAGGGGAGGGGAGGGGGGGGGGGTGTTCAGGTCAGCTGCTTAGCTTACTCTCCGGGTGGCTTCATCGACAGCGAGAGTTTCCTGCCGTCCTTGTTGGTGACGCGGACCTGCACCTCCTCGCCCTCACTCAGGTGGTCGCTAACGTTCTCAACAAAATTACTGCACACACACACACACACACACACACAACACAGACGGCGTATGTGCGTGTGTGTGTGTGTGTGTCTTCGGGGTGCGGTTTGTTTGATGCTCCCCGCTAGCTCCCCCCTGCACCACCTCACTCGGAAATCTGTGAGACGTGCAGGAGTCCCCTGATGCCGGGTGCCAGGCTGACGAAGGCCCCATAGGGCGCCGTCCCCTCGACCGTCCCCGTCAGCCACGTCTCGCTGTTTGGCACATTCGCCGCATACCACTGATAGATGGAACAGAGAATAGGGCGTGTCGTGGTTCTGTGTGAGGTGTTGGGTTGGCGAGCGTACTGTTGTTTGAGGTACCTACCTCATCGACCCCTTCGTTGAAGTCCCTGGGTTCTCTCCTGGCCGGCTCGCGACGTGCGGGCTCCTCGCCGGGCTTGAGCATTGTCAGCGCCACCTGCACACACATACACACACACATAGACACACACACACATACCAAAAGATCAGATCCAGACGACCACCGCAATATCGTCAGTCAAAGTCCGCTTACACCCCACCTCACCCCACCACCCCGCACCTGCTGCTTGTCAAAGTCGATCTTGACGATTCGGACATCGACGTCCTGCCCGACCGTCACGACATCATTGACGTTGCCGACGAACTCCTGACACACATCAAATTACATCAAATCAACACACCACACATCGGTGGTTGGTGGGCAGGGCAGGGCAGGGTGTTGTGATGGTGTCGTGATGGTGTTGTGTTGTCTGACGCGACGCGACGCACCGGGGCGAGCTGTGAGATGTGCACGAGCCCGTCCACGCCGGGAGCGAGGTTGACGAAGGCGCCGAACGGGGCGAGAGACACGACAGTCCCTGAGGGAACCACACAAAGGACAGTCAGGAAGACACAACCTCAGCTTGTTTGTCGGGGGGGACGGGTCGGGGGGGGGGGGCTGTTGCTGCCTGACCCTTGAACCACGTCTCGGGAGGGTATGCGTCGAATGTCTTGAGGTCAGCCGACTCGGTGAGCATGCTGAGAGCGATGCGCTGGCGGTCCTCCTCGACACTCAGGACCTTCACCCTCACCTGGTTGACCACACACACACACACACATACATGTGTGTGTGTCTTAAGCTATCAGGTCAGCCACACACATGACATCACGTCACATCCCATCACACAGCTTACATGGTCGCCCTCCTTGACAACGTCGCGGGGGTCTGCGACGTAGTGGTCGGCCAACTGCGACACGTGAATCAGACCGTTGCGCACAGCACTGGGGGAGTGTGGCACAGCCAACACAAACACAGACACAGACACAGACACAGCCACCAAGACAGTGAATGAGGCCCATCGTATCGTCCGCTAGCTACGCCTGTCGTGTGTTGTGTGTCGTAGGCCCACAAAGACAATACATACCCGATGTCGACGAACGCACCGTACTGGGCGATGTTGACCACGATGCCGTCCACAAGGTCACCTGAAAGAAACGCCACAGACAGACAGACAGACAGACAGGTCGGTCGAGAGTCCGCCAGAGTGGGTGTGTCATCAAGTCACACACATCCTCACCGGGTTTGAAAGCCGAGAAAGGCTTCCTCTGCTCAAACACCGGCGACTCGGTGGGCTCTGTCGTCGACTCCCCCTTGTCGCCCTCGCCCTCCACCCCCACCTCTGCCTTGTCCTCCACGGCAACGGACTCTGCCACTGCCGCTGCTGTTTCCTCTTTTGGCACATCGGACACTTCATTCCCAGGCGCCTCAGACACACTGACGACAGACAGCACACGTGACTGCCATCAGATCTGATCTGTGATATGTGTGTGATCTTACGCAGTGGGTGTGGTGCCGAGCTCTGCAGTCGACAGGACGACCACGGCGCGCCTCAGCCGTCGTGGTGGCTGTCTGTGTGGGTGAGAGCGGGATCCGACAGCCAGCTCCAGCCCGCCCAGAAAGCCCTCCGCCGCCAGCAGCAGCGCTCTCGCCTCATCGTCGGCATCGATCTGGAAACCTGCAACGTCCGCAGCAACGTGACATGACAAAGGCAGGCAGGCAGCACAGATCCATCACCCACCCACATGAAGCAGATGCGGCAGCTGGAGTCATGCATCTGATCTTACCGAGGGATATGAGGGGCAGCAGGGCGACTGAGCAGATGACCGCTGACAGCTTCATCATGGCTAAACTCAGAATCCTTCTCGTCTGCCTTAGCGAGCTCCAGCGCGCGACGATTTTCAGCTCGCAAAGGGGACAGGAGTTGTCTCAGCTTTTTTCGGACTGCTGTCGACGGCAACACACTCGTCTGCTTGGTTCCTGGCGTCGAAGGCAGCTTCCTTTCGCTTCTCCTGACAACCTTTCACATCTGAGGTTCTGGCCGCCTCCCTTGCTTGCTTGTGAGCGTCCGTCCGCGGAGATGAACCCGCTTCACCGGTTCCTCTCGCGGGCCTCGATGCAGGTCCTCGAGCACCACATCAAGGAGTGGCTTGTGGTATGTTAAGCAGACGACTCGGAGGGGGTGTCTACCTGCCTGCCTGTCTTCTCTTCCCGTGTCGATGAGAGAGATGAGCAGACGTGTGTTGTGCTGTCTGTGTGATTTGGTTGGTGGTCAGAACAACCCGGCGTTTCAGCGGTTTGCCGTGACGACGTCAAGGCAAGCCGATGAGATGATCAGGAAAGCGGCAGAGATGTCGGCGCAGCAGATGAAGGTACGCCGCTCAAGCAAGCACACACGCGCCCCCTCACACACACACACAAATCAGTCCTCCGTGTCGGTCTGTCTGTCTGTGTTGTGTTTGTACGTCCGTGTGGTGTGTGTCAGAACAACCCTCACTGGCAGAACATGCATCACAACCAGAACATGTCCCCCTTTTCCCGCCCGTCGTTCGCCCCGCCCTCCATGAACCCCAACCAGAATAATGTCATGTCGATGATCTCACAGCTCTTCAACACACAGCAACCAAGGCGGTAGACGGACAGACCAATCCCACCGCTGCGATGGAGTGTTTTGGCTGACGACCGTTGGTTGGGCTGAGTGAGTGAGTGAGTGAGTGGGCGGTTTGTACAGAGCCGTGTTGTGTGTATCTCTCTGTGTGTAAGCATGTGCACGTGAGCGAGAGAGAGAGAGAGAGAGAATCACAGCTGTGACGTGTTGTACCATGCCATGATGGCCATTGTGTGCTGGGCGGGCCGGCGGGGTGGGTACGGTGTGGTGTGGTGGTAACGAACCACTCGAAGAGTGACTGACCGACTGGGCAGAGGGGTGGGCGAGTGAGCGACGCCCTTCCGCCACTCGCTCGCTGCTGCGAGTCGCAGCCGCCGTCCGTTTTGTTCCTGCATGCTGCGATGGACCGTCTTGTGCACAGGCAGACACAGCACCCCGTCTGTGTGCCCGTCTGTGTGCCTGTCTGTCTGTCTGTCTGTCTGTTTGTCGAGAGAAGCCGGAGCGCAGTGTTCTGACTGGCTGGTTGGTTGGTGGTGCATTTGACGCATGGCAGAGAAAGAACCCAGACTGACTGATTCGCGCCGCTGTGTTCCTCAAGTTGTTTGACGCCCATCTTTGTACGGGGCTGTGCGCCTCGGAACGATTCCCTCCGAGGAGTGTTTACGGGCGGGGTGAGAACCAAATTCGATGTAGCGAGTGTTTCAGCCCAGAATGCGTTCCCGCCTGACGTCGTCTGATCTCGGCGGCACCCCCGAGCGTCGGTCCCGCTCCCGGGAGCGACCCGCCGACCCCAAGACCAAGATGGACCACGACCGGCCTGAAAAGAGCGACGACGAGAGCGACGAGGGCATCGACGGCATCGACGCCATGGAGGGCGGTGGGGAGGGCGACGAGAGCATGCCCTTCCTGCCCATCCCCAGCGACCTGAGGCCCGACGTCGTGTCGTCGTCGGGCGATAATGGATTTGGCAGTATTAGCTACGGTGACGGCGAGGAGGAGTCCGATTCGCCTGAGAAGCGTGCATTCAGAGTGTTGGCGCAGTACTCGCCTCCTGACACGGGTACGTGTTGACGGACGGATGGCTGGATGCTCCCCTCCCACGACCAAACGTCTTGTCACTTGGTGTGTGTGGTGTGGTGTGGTGTGCTGTGGTGTGTTGTGGTGTGTGTTCAGAGGACCGCACGGATAAGCGGAGCAGTTTCGGCGGTACGCAGTCGCCCCAGGGCGGCACGCCGCAGCCGCCCATGACGCCATCGCACCTGCTCTACCTGCACCAGACCTACCCCTACACCACCACCAGCCAGGGGTCCATCTCCTACGAGGGCGCCATCACGCCCCCCAACAACCGCAGCGGACAGGTCTCGCCCAAGCGAGAGCACGGTGGCGGTGCCAATGACACTGCTGTCAACAACAAAACCACTACCAATGGGGGCGGTGCTGGTGGCGGGGGTGGTGGTGGTGGGCGGCTGAGCGCGGCGTCGATCATCGTGAGCAACCGTGAGGACGAGCTGTTCCGCGAGCCGTCGGACGAGGGCGTGCAGAAGCTGATAGAGATGATTGGTGCGGGGGAGGGGGAGGGGGAGGAGGGGATGGGCGAGGAGGCCAAGACGGTCGTGCGGCTGCGCAAGGGGTGTGTCCACACCAGAAGCACCTCGGTCAACACCGCAGGGGATGTCATGGACGAGCACTCCCAGCAGCAGCAGCAGCAGCCGCCGGCCACGGTGACGCGCCTATTGCCGCCATTCCCCCTTGCATACACACCGCCCACACACACATATGGCCAAGCCGACGACGAGAACACCATCACCAAGCAGCAGCAGGAGGGCGGCCAGGAGCAGGAGCACGACAGCCAGAACCAGACGGCGGGAGCGGGAGGGCCGGCACGGACCTGGCTGGGGGCGCTGCTGATGCACCTGTGTCGCAGCGTGCAGCTGGGGGTGCTGCTGCTGGTGATCCTGCTGCTGTGTTTTGTGCTGTTCGTGTGCTACCTGCTGTGGCTGGACAGGCAGGCCGAGAAGAGGGGCGTTGTGGGAGGGCTGGGCAAGCCCGTGCGGCCCTACTACATGTAGCATACATAGCAAGGTGGGAGATGGATGGATGCCTATCGGATGGGATGGATGTGGCTGGCCCATCTCTGAGGGTCTGAGGGGGTGTGTGTGGGTGTGCATCGGTCTGTCTGTGTGGGTGGCTGTCTGTCTGTGTGAGTGCGAGACGGGTGCTTTGTACAGCTAGAGAGAGAGTTGTCTGTCTGTCTGTCTGAAGGTGTCTGCGCGACTGTGTGTGTGTGTGTGTGTGCGGGGGAGGGGGGAGGGGGGAGGGGAGGGCGTGTGTGTGTGTGTGTGAATAGCGGATGTCTATCGTACCTATTGGCCTGTCTGCCTCCCTGCCTGTCCAGTGCCGTCCCATCTCACTCGCGCCGTCCAAGGGACCTACTCAATGACCTTAGTTGCCAGCCCCGGTGTGTGTGAGTATTGTGTCGAGGAGGTCTCCTTCACCTACGGAGTTCTGTGCCGAGCAGCACGGGCCTCCGTATTGTTGTTCGAGCCTTTCTTGACACGATGCAGTACACACACCAACAGCAGCAACAGGAAGGGAAGAACTAGTCAAAATGAGCGGCACAGACAGACACACACCTTTGTTTGGATGACTTGGCTTGGATGGGAGAGTGCCATGGAGTGTGGATGCGTGTTGACTTCAAAACTGCCCGCCCGCCCGTGTCAGTCAAAGTCAAGAGGTACACACAAGACAGCATCGCCTATGAGAGTCCTCACTGGCTCAAACCAATCAACCAATCACTCACTCGATGTCCCATCGCCCAAGACACTCATGCACACACACACACACATACACACACATACACGTGTCTTTCCTTCCCCTCCTCTCTCCTGGCCGGTGGGGGCAGCGCGCCGACAGATAGTTGATCGGGGAACTGAGTGTCTGACGGTGCTCACGGTGTCACCGAGCACCGGCCATACCATCAGCTCTCCAATCTCATGGCAGTGCGCCGCATAAACCATTGGGCATCACTCACTCTACCTCCTCCGTCCTGGTGGGGACGATCTGTACCCTCCCCCAACACGCCCCAGGTCCTGACACACACACACAGACAAGAGAGAGAGAGAGAGAGAGAGAGAGGGTGTGAGGGGAGTGGGTGGCTTGCGTGTGTGTGCAGGTACCATCAGCTCGCTTGGTGGTGTCTGGTCGACGTCCTCCATCACCTTGCACAATTCGCGGGCCATGCGAACCTGACAGACACACACACACACACACGGACAGGCAAGGAGAGAAGAAAGACTGTTTTGCTTGCGTGCAGAAGGTGTGTGTGGGGTGTGGTGTGGGGTGCGTGCCTTCTCGGGTGTGTAGTAGTCGTAGGCGAAGAGGCTGAAGGCGGTGCCTTTGGCACCTGCACACACACACACACACACACACAGGTGTCTCTGGCCAGCATGACATCCCTCTCTCTCTCTCTCTCTCTGTCTGTGGGGTGTGTGTGTGTGTGTGCGTGCAGCCAATAGGACAGGCTGTCCTGACCGACCAGCTCTGCCGGTGCGTCCGATTCTGTGGATGTAGTCCTCTGCGTTCTTGGGCATGTCATAGTTGACCACATAATCGATATTCTTGATGTCTGCAGACAGACAACCAGACGCTCAATGCATTCCATTCCATTCAGCGACTGACTCATCCCCCCACTCAGTCACTTCACACACTCATCGATGCACTAGTTAGTTCCCTCCCTCACCGAGCCCCCGAGACGCCACGTCGGTTGCAATAAGGAAATTGCAGCGACCTGCAGTGCACCCGATGGAAGGAGGAAGGAGGAAGTGTGTCGGCCGGCGCATACCATCCACTCACTCCACTGGTGAGTGGAGTGGGTGGGTACCTACCAGTTTTGAAATCGTTCAGGATGCGGTCGCGGTCTCGCTGCTCCTTGTCGCCATGGATGCTGCACCACACCAACACACAAACGTTGATTGAGCGCATGTCATGGCATGTGGGTCCTGTGGGTGCCTCCCTCCCTCCCTGCCTCTCCCTCTCCCTCCCCTCCCTGGCTCACGCGGCGGCGTCGTATTGTTGGTATCTCAGCTCGCGGCACAGCTGGTCGCAGCCCCGCTTGGTCTCGCAAAACACCAGCATCTGCATGGCCATTGACACACACACACACACACACTTGGGTTAATGCAGGAGCTCCTGATCCCTCTCGCTTCCTCTTGGCTTGCACCTTCTCCTTTTGTGAAGCGTTCTCCTTGATCCACTCAAAGAACCTGACAACACGACACACACACACACACAGACAGACAACGAGAGAGACGGGGATGGGAATCGGATGCAGTGCGCTCACAGGCACACACACACACACACACACAGACAGACATACCTGTTTCGCTTGTCGACCTCCGGGACCACTTCGATGACCTGAGTGATGTCCTTGTTGGCCTGCAGCTCGTGGCCACCCACCACGATCTTCACGGGATCCTCACGGCAGAAATCACTGAGTGAGCACACGAACAAACCAAGACGTACCTACTGTGGGTGTCTGTCTGTGTCTGTGTCTGTGTGTGGGTACCCACCCACCCCGTAAACCCACCGTGCGAGCGCCTGCACGTCCTTGGGCCATGTGGCACTCCACATCAGGGTTTGCCTGCGGGAGATGAGAGGGAGGGAGGGAGGGAGGCAACCAAGTCTGTCTGGTGGCTCTGTGAGTCTGTGTGTGTGTACCGATCCGGCCGTATCTGCGACACGATTTTCCGAATCTGAGGCTCGAAGCCCATGTCCTGACCATAGACAACACACCCACACAGAGACTCACTCACAGGCCCATGCATTTGCAATGCGGCGCTCCTTCTGTATGTGTATGTTGATTGATGTGCCTTACGAGCATTCTGTCTGCCTCATCGAGCACGAGGTAGGTCACTCTCTTGAGGTTGGTCACGCCCTGCTCCAGGAAGTCGAGCAGACGGCCTGGGGTCGCAATCACAATCTCCACCTGATATAGGCAAGCCAGCCATCATTCCATTTGTGTGTGAGTCGAGTTGATGTGTCGTTGAGGGGGCGGGGGGAGGGGAGTGGCTTGGCGCTCACCCCTCTCCTCAGCTCGTTAGCTTGGCCGTACCGCGACACACCGCCGTAGACACACGAGCTCATGATCGATGACGACTGACCTGCACAATCCACAGCACAAGACGACACAACACAACACAACACAACTCAACTCACCGCAACACAACTCACCGCAAACAAAGACGTACCGAACTTGAGCGCCTCCTTCTGGATCTGCACGGCCAGCTCTCGGGTCGGCGCCAGCACCAACACAACGGGCCCGTCGCCAGACTGAGGGATGGATGAGATGACACGCAGTACCAGACGTCATTCCGTCATTCCATTCCAGCAGGCAGGCAGAGCAGCATGTGATGTGTCTTCGGGCGTACTCTCAGTGGCGGCTGTGCGTTGATGTGCAAGACGGCGGGGAAGAGATACGCCAGCGTCTTGCCAGAGCCTGGTTCACCCCCCACACACACACTCAACGCATGTGGTGCGCTCCGCTTCCATCACACCGCACCCTACGCAAGCAAACGTGTAGGCACGTACCTGTCTGAGCAACGCCCACCATATCCCGGCCTGATAGAGCCACGGGCCAACCCTGCAGACAGACAGACGCACAAACAGAGGCATACGAGCACGTCACGTCACATGCAGATGAGATGGCCCCGTCCGTCCGTGTGCTCGCGTGGCGTGGAAGAAGGCGTGTCGTGTCCGCACCCTACATACCATGGACTGAATGGGCGACGGTTTGTCGAAGTTGGATTTTTCCACCTCCTGCATGATGTAGTCTGCACGCCAGGAGCCACATAACGCGCACCAACATATACGCCGTCCTTGCAAGTGTGTGTGTATGTGAAGTGTGTGGCGTGTCGCATCATGTAGCATCGCACCCGGCAGGCCGGCCTCGTCGAAGGAGTAGATGGGCTTGGGGATGGGCGGGTTGCCGCGAACCGAGATCTCCAGCGACTGCAGGAACGACTTGACCTCCTCATTCGAACGCTGAACAAACAAACAGACCAACGAACGAGCCACAATAGAACCCAACTCACAAACAACGATTCTCTCTCTCCGTCTCTCTGTCCATGCTGCACTGACTGACCTGAGTGACACTGGGGTGCTCAACGTAGAAGTTCTTCTGGAAGGGGACGATCTCCTCATTGCCCCACTGTATCTGCCGCAGGTTCACCCCCGCCATGGCCATCTTGTCGCGCGTCCCCACGCCCCTCTCCGCCCTCTCCACACCAGTGAACCCAAACCCGCCCCGACGCACCGGCTGCTGCGCCTCCTCATAGCGCCGCCCCGAGTACTCCGTCGCATAGGGGTCGGAGGTCGACGCATACGGGTCGCTGCCGTTGGTCTGGCCATAGGGGTGGCCATCACCATTTGTTCTGTCGGCATAGCCATTCGTCTGTGTCTGTCGGGAGGCGGCAGGGGTGAATGGCGGAGGGGAGGGAGGGGAGATGGGTTGCTGGTCCAGCTGTGTCTGTGTCTGCATCGCGTCGGTCTCTGCATACTGCTGATATTGCTGATACTGCTGCTGTGCCGCTTGAGAGAAGGGCCGGGTGATGAGCCTGCAGCATGGCGCGGTGCCGCGATGAGTGAGGGAGGGCAGCCCTCCTGACATAAGGCGCCGAAGCATCATCAGTGGAAGATCTGATGAACACAGCGCCTCTTCGGGGTCAGAAGAGGCCGCAAACACCCGGGGAGAGCCACTGGTTTGCAAGCTCAGCTCGCAGATCTCCGCGCCTTTTCCGAAAGCTCAAACAGAGGGTGATTTGCTTCCTTGGGCTAGATCGGTAGGTCGGCTGCCATCCACAAGACAAGCAATTCATTCACACACATCATTCACAGCGGCTGTGTGTGTTTGGCGTCATTCCTTGTCTGTCTTCAGATCTCAGTCACTGCGTCATGTCAGTCATCAGCAGCAGGAGCAGCGACCTGGACTCGCCCGTCGTCAACGGCGAGGCGGTCCGCTGCATCTTCCGCGACCGGCGAGTTCGGCTGCTCAAGGTCAAGGACGTCGGCAGCCTCAGAATGGCGGCCCGCCACCACAGCCTCGTCGACTTCCCTCCCACCGCACTCCGCACCCGACTCGCCCACTCGCTGCATCTCATTCGGCTCGCTGACGGCTCACGGCTCGACACAGTGCTGGCCTTCGACGCCCAGACGGTGTCTGAGCCATGGGTGCTGCTGGCGGCCGTGTGGCTGGTGGAGGAGCAGACGTGGGACGAGATTGCCGACATACTGCGGGTGGCGGCGCAGTGCGGCCGGTGCACCCTGCCAGTGCGGCTGACTGCTGACGACATCACCAGACACGCCAACAAGACGGTGAGACGCACACACAGGGGCGGGAGGGAAAGAGAGGGCCTCATTCATTCTTCTCTCTCTGTGTGTGTGGTCGTGTAGGCGTATGCGTTGTTTCCGCGTGTGCTGGCTCAGCTCAAGATGGTCGGCCCCCACATCGACTTCGGCGACGGCGTAAGTTTCCAGGTGTTCCAGCACGGCACCACACTGCGGGCCGTCAAGAACGAAGACGGCTACGAGATCGACATCGACCCGCCTCTCCCTCCCAACCACCTCTACCAGCAGCACCGACAGCAACACGATCCGCCAGTCCGCAGCAGAATCGACTATGACCCACCCGTAGGCTGGCGGTCGCTGGGCTCTCTCGACTTCGCATCTGTGTCGTCGTGGGTCAAAAGCGTCGTCATCGACCACTTCACGGAGACTCGCCAGATCAACACCACAACCACCCATTCTATCGACAGGTGAGGCGGGGCATCACTCTGTATGGGCATTGTCACGACACATACGAGTGTATGTTGTGTGTGTGTGTGTATGTGTGTGTGTCAGGCATGTCGACAACAGCCGGCTGCACACCATCGTGACACAGTCCCCCCACACACCAGTGGAGGGATGCACCACCACCAGATCATTCCACTCCACTTGGCGTTGTCTCCTGCTGACCAACGCCGGCCACTCGTTCGTCGCATGCATCGCCGTCACGCATTTGCTGCACAACAACGGTCAGCCCAGCACGGCACAGCGAGGGGGAGGAAATGCGGTGCCACTCTCATGTGCTGTCCACTGCTATCCTCCCCTGTCATTCATTTGCAGTGCGTGTGTAGGTCATGACCACCGAGTCGGCTGTGTGTGGTGTGGGCGGTACCTTCAAGGACCGCTTCCCGCAGACCACTCGGCTGGCGCGTGTGGTGCTGGGGGCCGCCATCTCAACCAGGATTTTCGACCATTAGACAGCTGAGGTATGTTTGCACCAACCACGGCTGAGACGAGCAGAAAATGCCCACACACACGACGAACAGAATTGTGTCTATGCGTCTTCTGTCTTTCCGTGTGTATGCCAGGTCTGGAAGGTGATCGTGTGTGAGGGCGATTGTTTCGAGTCGATGTGATGTGCGTAAGTAATGTCCTGCCTGAGTGTGGGAATGAGTGAGTGTTATTAATGTGACTGACATTGGCTAGCGATGGTCATTCTTAAGATCAGATCCGTTCGTCCATCTTAGCGTCGATGCAAGCTACACTTGTGTGTCACTCACAGAGCGCACAGGGGAGGGGAGGCCATGAGGGGAGGGGAGGAGGCAGGCAGCATAGCATGTTTTGTACAGGCGCAAGGCTAGACTAAGGCAAGAGAAAGGGAAAGAGAGAGAGAGAGAGAGGGAGGGAGACATTTCCGCACCGACAGCACTCATCGCATCTCCTGAGTTCGGGTGCGGCTGGGTGGTGGGTCTTCTCGACTATTCGTGTGTGTCGTCGTTTGTCAAGAGCAGCATCCTCAGCCACTTCATGGGCACTCACCAGATCAACACACCCGACCGGTATAACACCACTTACCGTCCTATCGACAGGTGAGGCAGGGCATCACTTCGTGGGCATTGTTACGACACACGAGTGTATGTAACGTGTGTGTGTGTGTGTGTCAGGCATGTTGACAACAGCCGGCTGCACACCCTCATGACACAGTCCCCCCCCACACCAGTGGACGGATGCACCACCACTGCATCAGCCCGCTTCCCTCGGACCTGACAAGTACAAACCACTCATTCGTCGCATGGATCGCCGTCAAGGATCTCCCCTATAATGACGGTCAGCCCAGCCCGGCACATGTAAAGATACAATAGAGTACTCACTCTCATCTACTGTGCTCTCCTGTCATTCGTTTGCAGTGCTTGTTGTGGTCGCGACGACCGAGTTGGCTGTGTCTGGTGCGGGTAGGACCGCTTCCCGGAGACCGCTCGGCTGGCGCGTGCGGTGCTGGGGGCTGTCATCTCAGCCGTATTGTTTGGCCAATAAACAGCTGAGGTATGTTTGCACCAAACACGACTGAGACGAGCGGGGACGCACGCACTTAGGTGGGTGGTGGACGCCCTTGTCTATCCTCTGTGTGTGTGATGCAGACTTCGATGGCGATGTTGGGTGCTTCTGCTTGCTCCCTGAGGCCATCTCGCATCATATTGGGCTCTGTCTTCAATCGACATCTCGCTTCGACTCATTCATCAGCTTTCGTTCGTAGGAGAGAGAAAGAGGTGCTCGCCGCACTCAATTCGCAGGACGGAGAAGCCTTCGCCAAAGCTACACTACTCTCTCACTTACCGCTTCTGTGCTGGAAGGAGTCGGCGGACCACATGGTCTGTGCGGCAGCTTCTAGAGTGTTTAGTGTTTGTGCGCGAGACTCTCTGTCTCTCTGTTGCGGGCAGTTGTCGGTCTGCCTGTATGCCTGTATGGGTGTTTATTTCGTGCCTGACTAAGTGCACTCAATCGACCGTCAAACCTGTGGGCCCACCCTTCCGCCAATCTGTACAGCTACCCAGTCAGTCATCAATGCACACACGCGCACACACACTGCACAAACTCTACACAGCAATACCACTCAGCTAAGAATGGCCCCACTGCCCGGCTGCTATGAATGACCTACAGCAGCCGGCCTGACAAGCACCAACAAACGCACACATACAGCGATATGAACACGGCCACAAAATCCGTGTGAATGAGTGGCGTTTCCTCACCTTCAGGGATTGCAAACTACATCAAATGATCCGCCATGTGTTTCTCCAGTGCTGGTTGTGTGTGATTGTGAAGCCCTCGATGCGGACGCTCAAGGCACCGATGTTGGTACCCACAGGGATGGAGGCGCGTATTGAATCCTGCTGCTGAACATCAGGTTCGCAGCAGACCATCAGCTTCAAAGACTGGAGGCCCCTGAGGTGCGGTATATGATCGATCAGCGATAAGAGGCGGTCGCGGACGACGCTGCCGGCATCCTCCACATCAGGAGGCACTGAAGGTGAACACACACAAGGCAGCAATGAGGACGGACGGACACAGTTCCCTCTCCTCTCGGCGTACGTGTCATGGTGAATTCTAGTGTCCTGATCGTCGGCAATCTGCCGGCCGCCCCCATCAGCAGTTGCTCTAGTTGGTCGACACCGATGTCCCCAACCACCACCTCACCCACCCCCGTCTCCCTCCCCAGCGCCGCCAACACGCCCACCTTCTCATCACCGGACATCTCGCTGATGTCCACCCTTTCCACCTCCTTGGCCATCTTTCCGGCCAGCAGCCGGGCAGCAGCACCACCCAGCTTGCTCTGGATATACAACCGTGTGAACTTTGGCAGGGGCTGCAGGTGTGTGATGATGGCGGGGTGGGGCGACAGGGTGTTGGCCGGGGGCTGGAAGCCACGGGTATTGATGACGAACGCTAGCGTGGCCTTGTCGAATGAGAGGCTGGATGCGATGTCGATGGCCGATTGGCTGGGGTTGGTGTGCGGGTCGGTGAGGCCGTCCTGAGTGAAGATGTAGTTCACTTCCAAGGCTTTTCGTGCAAATTGCTGCATCATGGCCTTGAATGAGGGTGAGGGGTGGGTGGGGAAGGCATTGTCGTAGAAGATGGAGAGGTCGAACACCAGAAAGCCGCCGGTAGTGGTGAGTTGAGCGTCCGGTCGGCAGCACATGGTGACCAGTCGGTTGAGGGTGAGCAGCACGGGCAAGGTGTAGGGGCTGATAGAGACCCAGCCGGGATGGAACCGCACGTGCAATGGGGCGAGCGACTGTCGGCAGCCACGCGCCACGAGCACTTCCTGCAAACAAGAATACACACAGATACAGGAAGGACATCATGAGCAAACCCACCCCCTCTGCTGTCCTGTGCGTCCTTTGTGATCACCTGAAGCAAATCGATTTCCGCTGGGCTGTTATGAATATCGACCTCGATAGTGCCGATGCTCTCCAGCTGTGCGAGTGGCCCCCCCTGCTGCCCAGCAGGTGGAGCGGGGATGGCATCGAACACAGCCGCCCACACCTCACCCTAAAAGCTACCGTCCACACGCCGCAGGGAGTGGGACGAGCTGATGAACCGGCCCAGTCTGTAGGCGTCCCAACCCTCCTGCCGCACGACGGCGAGTGAAGGCATCAGCCAGTCGCGGTCGGCCAGCCCCTGATGCTCGCGGAGCAGACCGGCAATGGTGGTGAGTGCGTGGAGCGTCGGGGGCGGCTCGAGAGGCGCGGGGAGGGGCGGATCAGTCCGTGCGACGGTCTGCCTCGCCGTACCGGTCAGCCGAGCCCCCTCTTGGATGGTGATGCTGTGCAGGGTCCCGCCGTCCATGTTGGCTGCCACCCGGCCGGCGACGTGGCCATCGATGGCGGCCACGAAGACGTCGAAACACCAGCGGGGGAAGCCGTCAGGGTACCGGAGGACGACACACGTCAGCTGTCTCAGGTACGTGGCCCATTCCCTGACGAGGTCGGTTGTCGTTGTCGCCGCCTGCCAAAACAACCGCTCCTCTCCCGTGCCTCAGCTGATGGTGAGGTGGTGCTGTTTGCGGACCGCGTGTTGCCGTATGAGGGGCGGCAACTGCAGCTGCATGAGCAGATGGATTGGGAGGAAGGCCATGGGGATGCTCATGAGACCGGGCTGCACACATCACACAGCACACGGGACAGCAGGAGATATCCATCAGAGTATAAATGCCTTTGTGCGTGTGCTGGCTCACAGGTGCATTCTCCCAGAAGAGTCTTTCCCTCTCTGCCCGTCGCTGCCGCTCCTCATCGCTCTCAACACCACTACCGCCGTCACCAGGACGAGACCTCTTGACCTGCACCCACGCCCCCAACACACACACACAGAGCAAACACCCGTCTGGTGAAATGTGCCATCCATCGCAGGCGGTGATGTGCCTCACCTGTCTATCTCTCTCCTCCATTGCTGCCATGAACTCTAGGGCCTTCTCTGAGGCCGCTAACTGGCCGATGCTCACGGCTCTATGACGTCCCTCCCTGACACACGAACACGCACAGCACAATGTCATGAGGGCGGCACCGATGGCGAATTCTCCTTCTCCTGCCCTGGCGTACCTCAGGACGGACAGACGCGAGGATACTTGACAGTCAACTGTCAGATCCGATGTGAGTGAAGAGAATATCATATCCGTCACTGAGCCACACACACGGCCATGAAAACGTAAACTGTAGCTACACTGTAAACGTGCATCTACACTGTAAATGTAAACGTAGCGATTCATAGCCAATCGTCTTTGAGGCGCAGAGGGCACAGCCAGGCCTGGTCTGTTGCTTTCGTCCGGTCAGTAGCTAGCCTAGGGCTGGATGCAGTGCTGCTGTGAGCTTCATACTCAGACAGTTCATTCTGCATGGCTTCAAGGCAATTCCTCTCTCCATTCGCAATGCCTGTAAGTGTTGTGTTTGCGTGAGTATGTGTGGGACGGCTTAGCGTGCTGCCCTAGGGCGGTTAGGACGGGTGCGTCTCGGTGTTCGTGGACAGACAGATTCATGACTTGGCTGAACGAATCTCATCTCTGGCTGCTCGCTGTAATCATTCAACACAACCACTCAACTCAGGCAGGCACCCACTGAAGTCCGCGATACAGGCACACCACACACATCTCCATCCCCACGTCACGAGGTGCCACAACCACCATACACTTCTCGGCGATCAGCATGGGCGGCACGACCAGGCAAATGTCGCTCATGGCAGTAGGCCGACCGCCTCATTCTCTAGTCCAAGTGACCTCAAGAGCTGCCCGCACGGCGGCCACCGTGACAGGGAATCGCTCACCGACCGTCACCCCATCCGCCGCCACCACCTCGCTCGTCCTGACTTTGATTTGCCCTTCATAGAGAGACACTGACGCCACGACAGAGCCGCCACCCAGTAACAGCACCACGACCCGCATTGGTACGTGAAGAGCTGGTGGTCGGTCTACATACCGCAATTCCACTCGCAAATCGATGACGAACATGTCAGATCTGCCGCTGAGGTCATTCCGCCGCAGGGCACGATAGCAAGCATGACGCATCCCCACTTTCACATCGAGGACGACATTAATGCGGCCCCCATAACTCAGCCGCTGCAGCAACGTGTCGAGGGCAAACTCGCTGAAGGAGCGGTAGATATGGTAGTCGGCCGACGACAAGTCACCACAGCTGACGGGCGGGTCAGTGTGTCGACAAGTGCGACAAATGAATGGATTCAAGCGCCACACCTCGTCTCGCTCGATGACGCGGAACCGCCTCTCTCCGAGACGATACCACTGCACCTCCCGGCTCCTGTGGTGGAGGAACCATGCCATTCGCAATCCGATCGTGACGGCAAAAGAAAGGATGAGCCCGGCAACCAAGATGCTAAGCACCAAGCCAGCGATCCGGCACAATAAGGGCCAGCCCGAGAGCGGGCACTGCAGCCGCTATCGTAGGAACCCAACGTGCCGGCCACAAGAAGCCAAGCCCACCCCAGCAGATAGAATAAGTAAGCGGCTGCAGTCAGGAGACGCACCAGCGGACGGGTCGGCAAGGTCGCGACAAAGGCCACCCCTCTGTCGTCCTCGGTGAGGTGAGCGCCGCCGCCGCCGTAGACATGGCCAAATATCTTGTTAGCGGCCATAGCAGCGGGCAGCCGATGGAAGCTGGCCTTGTCGGGAAGGTGAGCCGCCACTCTCTCAGCCGAGAGTACGATGAGGGGCGGTCGGCGACTCACACCGCAGACACCTGCCACCCTGATAAACGCGGCCATAGAGCGCCACTCAGCCGCCTGCTCGATGACATAGGCACAGCGAGCGAGATACCCGAATCGCGAGAGGGATGGTGGGAGTGGAGGGGCTGAGCCATCCACGCCGCGGTGCCTCTCCACATCAATGAGGCCGGTGAGCTGCTGATTGGCCAGGGAGCTGCTGATTTGGTCCAGTAGAAACTCCTCATCTATCAGTTGAGTGCCGTAAGCCTTGCCGACCGCCCGGAGCCGCACGGCATCGCTAACGGGCAGAAAGGGGATGACCGCACGGGCAAAGACGTCAGCAGGGAGCCCTTGATCACCGTCAGCAAGGGCGATCCATAGAGGCTGAAGGAGGTAATCATCATCATCATTCTCACAGGAGACTGACAGCAGCTGACGGCTGTGAACCACTCGCCGATAGAAGCAGCGCCATGTCCATCGGAGCAGCCGACTCATCTCTGTTGGTCCTGTGTGGCTCGGCGGCAAACCAGCAGCGACAGAGACTCAGACGATTGAAAGATCAGATATGTGGCCGCATAGAAGAGCAGTTTACATAGCAGAGAAGCGCCCCCCCTAACCGGTTTGGGTTGGGAGCGTTTCTTCAGGGAGAGAGCGGTTTCACGCAATTTCCTAAAGGTGCGAGCGAGCTTCGCAAGTTTCATCTTTGGCTTTCTTGCCAGTCAGACAGGTGCAGACGATGACTTGCTGTACGAACAGCATGTATTGGATCAATGGGCGCTCGACGTCGAGCTCTCTGGGTGGCCTCTGTGCATCGGGCGGCATCAAGATCACTGACCACGTTTTCGTCTTCAAACACGTATGTATGCGATGTGACATCCTATCCACAGCACAGAGGGCGGGAGAGTGGCGCTCTCATCTCCTGGTCTCATCTTTCACTCGGATGTGTGTCGCTCGCTGGGCTGGTTGTGTGCAGGCACCGACTGAGTGGGTGCGTCGTGGCCTCGTCAACAATGCCAAGCCGTGTGTGTTTGGGCCGGGGGGGTCCGTCCTTACGGTCCACGCAGACCGCACAGAGCACCCCCAGGCCATCTACATGCACGCCCCGCCAGGCCGCAGGCCGCAGGGTCAACCTCACTGACGGCAGGTCAGTGAGAGGTCGGCAAGCCGCGTGAGGCGTGATTTTATCAATGCTCTCATGCCGGTCCTTCAGGAAAGTGACAGCGCTCTCGTATGAGCTTCGCTCGTACATCGCCGCCAAGGACACCGAAGCGCACAAGCCCCTCCACCCGGCAGACACCAAGAAGCCCTCCCCTCAGCTCGCCCAGCTGCCCACGGCGAGCACACGAGACTGGCGCGGCGCCTCGCAAGAGGACATCCAAGAGCCAAGCCAAGAGGGGATCAACCGATGGTTTGTCGAGGAGTATCTGCCGGCACAAGAGGCGAAGGAGGCCGAGGAGGATGACAAGCGGTGGGCGGAGGTTGAGGAGAAGAAGGCCAAGCAGCCCTACGACCACTCGCAGTGGGCACACTTTGACGAGGAGTGGGCGAGGGTGAACAACAGGCAGCTGTGGCGGCAGTGTTCAAGGAGTGGGAGGCCGCCAACCCCAAGATGGCCCCCTTGGTGCGGAAGAAGTGGAAGGGCACACCCACCATTCGACTGTGAGGGGCGGCATAAGGGAGGGAGGGGGGAGAGGGAGGGAGGGTAGTTGGGCTATGGGCTACGCTGCATGTGTGTAAGAACAGCCATGCGGATTGTGTGCTGTACCAGGAAGGGAGACAGGCACCTAAGTCTTGCGCTGTGTGGTGGGAACACAACAGCTGCTCTCTCTTTGTTTTGTCGATCCGCGGGCTGCGTGGGTGGACGGCTGCTTTGGCTAGGCTTGACTAATGGTGCCTGCCTGCCTGGATGCCAGCCTCCCAGTCAGTCCGTCAATCTGTCTCTCTGGACGGTGCTTGCCGTGGGATGCAAGTGTTGCCTGATGGCTGCCTTTGACGGCCTGTCGGTGAACTCTTGATGCTCACTGTCATGCGGGGAGGGGTGAGACTTTTACTCGACCGCAGGGAAGGCTGACATGAGGGAACACACGACTAGCCAGAGAACAGACAAAGGAATCGGACGACTTAGTGGCTCATACTCACATGACATCCCCTTGACTCATGACTCACTCAGTGTATGTTGATGACCAGATAAAGTTCAAGAATCTCTCACACTGATTATCGCGTCAGTCACATCAGTCAGATCTGTCTGTCCCCCCACCTCTCTCTCGCCCCTGTACACCCGCCATACATACGCACATAAGCCCCCCCCCCCACCCACCGCCTTGAGCAGTGGTCCACCGATCTCTCAAGTTGCTAATGAAAGTCGCTCGCTGCCTCCCAGTCTGACTCGTCCACCCATGCCATCCAGGTGTCTGCTCATTTGTCGAATATGCCCTTGACGTATTCCTTGCCCTTTTCCCTCCACCCCTTCGTCTGCCACAGACGGTCAATCTCCTCTTCGGCACCATACAGACTCACCTCAACCGCACCACCCTCCTCTGCAGCCATTCACACAGAAACACATGGGCAGTGAGTGGTGTCTCTGTCTGTCCGTCTGTGTGCCGGGTGGGTGGGTGGGGGGAGATGGCTTCTTTGTCCTCACCTTTAGACGGCTGCAGCTGCACACGCACCGCCTCTTCCCTCTCGGCGTTGTCAGTGTAGTACTTACCTGAGCACATCGCCACACCACACACTCACACAGTCGACAGGATGCAAATCAATCTGCCTTCGCTGCTGACCGGCGAGTGGGCTTGCGAGCGTTGCGAGGAACCACAAATTGCCGAGTCCCTTGCCCTTGCCCAGTGCGCTCTCCTCTGCCACAATGAGCACCAGTGCCAGTGTGGCCAGCGAGAGGAAGGTCATGGCCGTGAGGAAAAGGGCCTGACCCCTGTCGGGCCGGTACAAACCTGCATAGGCACATACATAAATCATGTGTGGCGCAGATACGACGAGTGAAGAGCAGCAGGGCAGATGTCTGTGTGTGTGTGTGTGTGCTCCAGGCCTGTAGACCTCTGAAGATGATGTATTCTTCTGAGGGCTCTGGGCGGTAGTTGAGGTCAAGGAAGTGCCGATAGACCTGGTTAGCCGTGTCGTCCATCGTCGACGGCGCAAGGTAGATCTGCACACAACCAACCACAAGACCGACCAACTCGTGCAGCAGACGCCAGCCAACAACCACCCCAGCGCCGCCCTGCCCGCTCACCTTGCTGACCATCTTTGACTTTGTCGAGCGCTTGATGAGCGACCACAGGCCAGGGAAAGACAGCACATAGAGGAACAGCGTGGCGAAGTAGCTGGCCTTCGAGTAGCCGCTGCCCTCCTGTGTCAGCGCCGATGTCTGCGCCTCGGCTATGCTCGACCACAGCAGGGGCGCGATGGACAGCACCGACGAGCCGATGCTGCCGGCGGGATCTGCCGCAACAGGGAAGGGGAAGAACTCATGGGTTGGATGTGCCGACCTCGGTGTTGTTGGCTTTGGCGGCCTCGGTCGGACTGTGAGTCTCGGAGGTGAGAACGCAAGCGCAGGAGTGCAGACGAGCAGGCAGGCAACACTGAGAAGCTTCATTTTGCAGGAGAGATCTGTGTGTTGAAGCTCGCAGGCGGGGTCGACCGAGAAGGGCATCGGCTTCCAGCATTCCACTGCCGCTGCCAACACGTGGAGGAGCTCACGTTGGCTCAGTGACAGTGGATCTCACAAAGATCTTGCCTGCCTGTTGAATGGCGAACCTCCACTTCGGGCGCTCCGGTGGGAAACCAGATGCACGACAGCTGAGCTGGCAACTTTCCAACGCACTGAACACGTCCTGTCCTGCATGTGCAGTTCCTATTATCTTCCACACATTTCCCAAGGTCGGTGCCCGCAACCTCTATGGCGAGAGGATTCGCATCCCCGAGGAGCTGCGCGGGTCCCTCAACATGCTGCTGATCTCCTTCAAGCCGTGGCAGCTGGAGCAGGTCGACGGCTGGCGCACCTCCTGCGAGATGGTGGGAGACCGGCTGAGCGTCAAACACAGGCGCAGCGACGTCTATGAGTTCTATCAGGTCAGCACGGCAGCAGCCCTGGGTGTGTGTGTGGATCTCCTCTGCTGTGTGTGGACCTGGGTGTGTTGCTTGTGGTCAGGTGTTGGTGTTCCAGCGGTGGAAGTGGCCTTTCCAGTGGTTTTTGCACTGGCGGTATCGCAGGAAGATACCTCAAGAGTGGCACAGGAGGACTCTCGTCATATACACCTCGGTCCGTGGGCGGGCAGCCAACCACGCACACTCACACTCACACACCAAAGAGAGAGAAACTGTGCACCCACCCATTGCCGCCGTCCCTCTGTGTGTCTGCTCTGCAGGTGCGGTCTTTCGTCAACTCGATGAATCTGCCCGACCCGATGCGCAACTATGCCCTGCTGATCGACCCCTCAGGGCAGATCGAGTGGGGCGAGCACGAGGAGGTCTCCACCGAGAAACTGGACTACCTGTGCGACCTGCTGTCGATTGAGAGGGAGGAGCCGGCACCAGAAGTGGACGACGAAAGCACAATTGAGGGCTCAGAGGAGAGGACGATCGGCGAAGCCCCGCTGTCACTCGATGAGGGCACTGTCAGTGGAGGCGAGGGGCAAGGACAAGGGCAGGGAGCCCCTGCAGAGGCAAAAGGGAGAGCGTGATGATGACGTGCTTGCTCAGGAGACATGAAGTTACATGAAGTGTGCAAAGTGAGGCTTTTTCCCGTTGGCAGTAGCTAACATCGACATCAAGACACTGTTGTGGTTGTGGCGCACGCATGTCATTTCTGGTGTGTGTATGCTATGCTACAAGGAAGGGTGTGAATTGACTCCTCGTCAAGGCTGTGTCTACTCATGTTTCACCGATTTGCTTAGTTACCAGTCCATCCATCCATCCATCCAAGCTCTTCCTCTGACTACTGCACAGAACTCACAACACAACGACCCACACCTCTGATGTGGTGTTTTCGTAAGCTACGTGTGCGGCTTGGCGACGGTCGGGTCATATGCACATCGCCGAGGCAGGTATGGTAAGCGACGTACCTACCCCTTCTCGCTTGGTTGGTTGGTTGGTTAGTTCGCGCGTCTCTGCTGCACATGGTGAGCGTTGATCGACGTATTTGTCTGCCTCATTTCATGTCGGATCAGCAGAATCCGACTGTTATTGCGCTACGCGTGAAAGTCTTTTCCCCCCCTCATGCAGTACTATCCGGGCGGCTGTTGCCTCTATTGGTCGTAAATCTGCAACTTGCAGACTTGCTTCCCGAGTTGCGCCTTGACCCTACACCTGTAGCCCTTGTTGCCCCATTCAGTGACCGTCCTCGACGTGCTCGCCGGACTCCAGTATCCCTCCCGTACATCTGTGTGCTTTGTACGGGTGACCCATCCCTTGTACGTGCCGCAGCCGTGAAATGGCCAGCTGTCCATGCAGGCACGGGCACATTAACAGAGACACCAGACACATGACTGACACGCGGATGGATAATCTTGCTTATGTGTGTTGTGTGTGTTGGATGGACCACTCGTCTCCGTGGTCGCCGGCTTTCTGCACACACATGGTGGATGAGACATGATCGAAGGAAACACATGGATACACGAAAGTGCGCATGTCGACCGTGCGTACCTTGCATCTTCCCTGGGGGTGCGCCACCTTCTCATCCGTCTCGTAGTCCCAAAGCTGCTTGTAGCACTTGAGCCTCTCTCCGCAGTCCTTGCTTTCTTTGCACACCGCCCCAGCTGCACTCTTGGAGTGGACACGGACAATCTTATCCTTAGCCACCACCGCCTTGGAGTGGATGTCCATGCGCGAGGCGCCACAGAGCCCCACGATCACGGCGACGGCCAGGGTGGTGAGCAGCACGGCCTTCGGAACAGCCATCTGACCGGACGAGACAGCCCATAGCAGTGGCATAATGGACGGCAAAGCCCTTCGAGAAGTTTGAGAGCTCTTGTTTCTGCATTTTTGGTACCATCGCTGAAAAAGGCAGCTTTTGAAGGTCAATCCGAGGGGAAGGCAACTCAGGCCACGCAACTGTTACGCTCGCTCTAGAATAGGAATGAATGAATGAGGGTGGGGGCCCAGGGGGCGTCTCGACCTGCAGAGAGAGCGGTTTCACGGAGAATATGAGGCAGAGGAAGCACGGATGAATGAGGGAAGTGCTGTTCGTTGCTGACTTCCCATCCAGGCCTTTCTGATGGCGCCTTGTGACTTCAGCCCTTCCATAGTGTATCCAGTTGTCGTTTCGCCACCCATCCAGGCCGACTTCGCCGACGAGAGCTTCTATAACGCACAGGTACATTCGTGAAGGCAACGAGAGTACAGAATGGCTTCAATTATCATCTGTTTTGTCTTCTCATCAGGAGACCCCTCCTCCCAACGTCCGAGCTGGGAGCGTGTTCGGTGCTTCGGATGTATCTCACTGGCTTGACTTGGTCAATGGCTGGTCTGTAGAGGACTGCTTAGGCGATGACGAGGGAGCCGACACCGATAAGGAGAAGGTGAGAGGGAGGAAGGAGGAAAGGCTCTAGCGTTGTGCGCACACAGACATGCCGGCCCCGATCCCTGTGTGGTTGGTTGGTGTGTGCTCAGTGTGAGTCGGTGAAGCGGTTCATTTCCTCCGTCGTGTCCGAGCTGACCTCTCTGCCCCTCGTGCGCATCCGCAGCCTCTACCCATCGATGCACTCCCGACTCTGCTCCGCACCCTCCCCGCCAGACCGGCTGATTCACCTGCACATTCTGCATCACGTCATCGCCCACGCTCACTCCCAGCCCCTCCCCTTCCGCCCCCTGCAGCTGATGCGTTTGGTCCGGCTCCGCAAGTTCATTCTCAACACGCGCGACTTCGACCAGCTTGTGAAGGAGTATGCGGCCCTCGACTCGCCACCAGAGGTGCTGGAGCGGGTGATAGAGGCGGGCATACATCTGAACCACATAGCGAGGGTGCACGGAAGTGCCAAACGGGCCGCTGAGTGTGTCCATGAGGGGGACACCGTGTACTTGCTGAGTACGGGGAAGCCGCTGGCTAATCGGGTGGAGCCGGCTCTGCTGGAGCACATGGGAATGAGTGAGGGGACGGCGGACAGGTATGGGCTGATGAGGTGGAGAGAGCAAGAGGGGCAGCAGGGCGCCACGGGGAATGAGACGCCGGAGCGTCCTCCGTACGATGGCGTGGCTGGGCAGGAGATATTCTTCAACACGCACTCAGGTCAGTCAGCTGGGGAGAAAACGACGTGATGAGATGAAGCCGTCCGTCCGATGATCGCTGGTTTCTGTTTGTCTCTCTGTCAGGTCCGATGTCGACGATTCTCCATTTCATCGGCTGCCCCGAAGCCTGCAAGTTCTTCCTGGTCAACCGCATCTGGTCACCCACACTCCTGCGCCGCGTCCTGGACTCCAGGAGGGCCACCGGCCGAGGCGCCCCCGCCCCCTCCCATGGCCACCCCTTCTGCCGCCTCTACGAGCGGCTCCCCAGCCCCACGATCACCTGCTTAGGCCACCGACACGACGCACTGCGCGCGAGGGACGACCTGGTGCCCACACAGGAGGAAGAGCAGCGGCTGTATGACCGGCACAAGGCGGCCATCCGGCGCCGCTATGACCACAGCAGCTGGGGTGGCTGCTCGCCCTACCAGGGCCCCAGCTGCTGCCAGTGGGGGCCCTACCACCATCTGGACCTGTGTGTGGTCATGGCCGAGGAGCGTGCGACCCGCGAGGCGTTCAGGGATGGGGTGAGGGAGGCGCAGGAGAAGCACGCCATCTTCGATGTGTGGCAGGACGACCTCCAGAGGTGCCTTCTCGAGGCGAGAGAGCGGTACCTGGCCGCCAAGCGAGGCGCCACACCGGATGACGCCACCTACATCGCTCTCGGCTGCCCGACGTGTCCCAGCTGGACAAACGCCCTGCAGACCAGCACGAGAAGAGTCGACAGTGCGGATGTGCGGGCGATTGTCAACGGCGAGGCGGCGGAGGGCCGCACGGTGGAGAGCGAGGGGCTGGATGCGAGCAATGAGCGGCTGAGGCTAACGGCCTTCTGGCCGCCATCTGCTGCTGCTGCTGTGGATACTGGCGAGGTGTGCGTGTGGTCGTATACACAGGGCACGAAGGTGGCGTGCTGGCCAAACGGACGCACACACATGGCCGAGTGACTGAGTGCGGGGTAGCCATCCGTCCGTGAGACAGAGCCAAGCCAGTGCTGTCTACTTAGGTACACTGCTGCTGCTTAGCTGCTCTGGATGGACGGACGATGGATGGAGCCTTCCCGGTGTGTGTTGTGTTATCTATATTTGTCAGTGCATCTGTGTGCCAAGGACGGACCCGAAATGATTGATGTCATCCATTCAACTTGTCATTGCTGGTCCGTCTGTGGGTAAAGTCCATTAGTGTTGTATCACGACTTAAGGAGAGTTCCTACGTCACCCCCATCCCACCCAACCAGCCAGGCAGGCAGGCTTCACACGAGCAGGCAGGCAGGCAGGCAGGCCGGCAGCAAGGCAACCCTCCGTGGGGCTTCAGCTAGACAGCAGCAACACCCCGGACACACCAACATGCAGCCAGGCAGGCAGGCAGCTATTCACCACAGCGCTACACACAGACACTCAAATGTAGAAGTATGTATCGACATCAATCGGAAGGGGTGGATGAGACCGACACGGGTCTCTCGCCGTTGCCATTCTCTCTCTCTCTCTCTCTCCCTCTCCCTGTACACCTACGCGGCATCCAGACAGGCAGGCAGCTAAGTTCCCTCTCTCTTGTCGGCCCTTCCGCTGCTGGTCCATTCCGTCACCCCGCCGTGATGGTGACCTTCGCCCACTGACGCACCAGGGACGACGGTGACAGTCACAGCGGAGCGCCAATGGACCCCACAACAGACAGCATAATGGACCCAAGCACGGACAGCCAGCCGCCAACCCCACAACAGACACCAACAACTAGCAACCACCCACGGCACGGCTCCTCCTGCCCTCTCTCTTTCCCGCCAGCTCGATGGCCAGTTCTCACGCCATGCACCAGCCGGCAATCGATGCCAAGCCCTGCTCACTCACAGGTCTTGGAAGAGATCACCGACTGGACGATCACGTGGGAAACCGACATACGCAGAACGAAACAAGACGGGTGCCGTTGAAGGTAAGGTACGCTTCTCTAGACTCGTGCAGTGCACAGCTACGCTATCCAACCAGCAGCAGGAAGGATCGGTGTGATGAACACACCGCTGGCCGGCCAACCGAACAACCAGAGGCCTCTCTAGACTAGACACGCCACGGCACGAGAGAATCGACGACTCTAGGCATTCCAAACCCCCTCAGCTATCGACAC